TAATACCTATATGTCACCTTTGGCAGGCGACACAAAAATGCAGGTTACATAATTTTCTGTCAAATATGAATATAGCAACTAAGATAAAATATATTCCATTTTCACCTATACTGATAATCTCAACATAAAACAGCACACAAGTATGACATATGCACATTTATTCTTTGCTGAACAATATTCCACCAGACTACATGTGCTACAATAATTAGAGTGGTACATATACCACACTGGTCCACAATCTCAACAACAAATAAATATTTCAAAATTGTTCCCATGAAAATTTTTTCGTTTTTGTATAAATCAAATTTCGTCAATAAAAAGTGGACACTGCACAAACAGACATATACTGATATTATGGTGTTGTGACCTCGGCTTTTTTTATCTATATATTCCGTGACCTTGATCCCAAGGTGATGTGTTGAGTATGATACATACTGACAATTCAGTTTGGATTACATACAAAATATGCCACTAGTGTAAAACCAAAGTATTAAAATTAACAATTTTCTTTTAACAAATAAAAATTCTCTATATTAAGGTTGTTTTTTCTTTTTCTGGTACTTTTAAAATGACATCATTCCCCATGCTTGAAGTTCTACTAGCAGTATCAATAAAGCTACTGTTTGGGTGTTACATTGTAAGTTTTCTCCTGAAAAAAGTACAGGTTTTGGGGGCTACATAATCAACTTGGAACAACTAAATGCATGAAACACTAGAAATACTATTTGTTTGTATGGCTAACTGATAGGATGTGTACAAATACTGATGGTTACAAGCCAGTCTTCACTTTAGTTTGTGTATTTTTATCTTCATTACACTGTACATGATGTTAGTCATGGCACAGTCCTTGTATCTGTACTTATAAAAGCATGAATATTAATGACACCTTGATACATATTAAATATGCGAAGATATTCACCCAGGTTTTTTTTCCATCTTTACATAAAACTGAATTACTGTTTTAACTGTTGCTGAATTTGCCTTAATGACAAAATACATTGAAACATATATTCCTCAGCTTTAACAACGATCTTCAACTTAGTATTTAAATGCACTGTATTGGCTGAAGGGGAAAGTTTATAAACCCTTGCAAGTTCACACTACACATGATAGACAAAGTATCATTAAACATCTACATGTACTTATTTTATATGTAAAAAAATAGTATCAATATTTGAAAACAGCAAATTATTTTAACTGGATGCCTTAGGATCCAAAGTAAATCACATAATAGTGTTAAATTGTCAGTATACATTAACTAGTTCATATATATGCATCGATATGTAAAATTCCTGTAGTCATAACCAGGTCTATAACTTGGTGGATGCCTACTAATTGTTAAGTAGGTATTTCCTTCACTGATTCAATTAATTACTGACAAAACTTGCTCTCTCTCACTATAGCAATCATTACAAGTCATTGTTTCAAGATTTCCACACTCAGCACTGCCAGGTATGAAGCATAATCATATGACCATGAATGGCTAGGACAGTGATCATTGTCGTACTGGCAGCAATTACAAAAGACATGCTTTACCTCTGGTTGTATATTACATACGTCGCTTTGAATAACTTTTTCCATTACTTATCTCAAGAAACAGAAAAATGGTTAGACCTGAAACACTGATAAATGCATCAAGTAATACACAAATTAGATTAAAAAATTTGGTACTTTTAAAAAGATCACACAAACCTTGTTTTCATAATGATATATTGTATATATGTGCTGTAGATAATTTCACAACCATAAAAAATGTACATGAAAGCCAACAATACAGTGAGGTGAGTTGATCAGACAATCACACAAACACATCAAATGTATCAAACAATTTCTCAAATTCGCTTGTACAAGAAAAATCTAAACAGAATTAAATAGTTGTATTTCTTCACAAGACATTTAAATTACTTCCCTTGTTATCCAATAAGGCCAGCCATGAGAGTGTTCCTTTCAACTGAAACTCCTCGGATCTGATGATCCTGAAGGCAGGAATAAATATATACATCTATTGTATAAAATATACTGATCTTATAATGTATACACTTTTCTAAGAATATCATAATATTAGGACAGAATTTCTTTGGAGGCACTTTTCAAAGCAAGTCTTGCTGGACGGTGAAAAATAACATGCATATTTCATTTATGTCTATTTAAAAAAGAAAGAGAAATTCTTAATAAGTGTAATGACATTTCTTCTTCTTCAAAAAATTTTTTTTGTGCAATGTGCAGCTGAGAACATGACATGTTATACACTGATGGAATCTGCTATGTACCCAGTAATCTTTTTTATCATAACCTACTTTGATTTCTGAGATCTTAAGGTGCCAACAATAAATACTGAAAAATTAGCTTATCTCTCCAAAGAAGAAATTGGAGTTATGTCTGAAGATTTAACTAATAAGGGTTTGTCTTCAGGTCTCACATGTAAATTTGGTAAATAGCTTTGGTTTTATATATACTTGGCACATAGGTTACTTCAAAAGACTCAGCCAGTAGGTTATCTCAAAATACTTGACCAGTAGGTTATCTCAAAATACTTGGCCAATAGATTTCATCTGAAGACTTGGTCAATAGGTTACCTCAAAATACTTGGTCAATAGGTTACCTCAAAAGACATGGCCAATAGGTTACCTCAAAAGTCTTGGCCATGAGGTTATCTCAAAAGTCTTGGTCAATAGGTTACCTCAAAAGTCTTGGCCAGTGGGTTACCTCAAAAGTCTTGGCCAGGAGGTTATCTCAAAATACTTGGCCAATAGTTTTCATCTGAAGACTTGGTCAATAGGTTACCTCAAAATACTTGGTCAATAGGTTACCTCAAAAGACATGGCCAATAGGTTACCTCAAAAGTCTTGGCCAGGAGGTTATCTCAAAAGTCTTGGTCAATAGGTTACCTCAAAAGACATGGCCAATAGGTTACCTCAAAAGTCTTGGCCAGGAGGTTATCTCAAAATACTTGGTCAATAGGTTACCTCAAAATACTTGGTCAATAGGTTACCTCAAAAGACATGGCCAATAGGTTACCTCAAAAGACATGGCCGGGAGGTTATCTCAAAAGTCTTGGCCAGTGGGTTACCTCAAAAGTCTTGGCCAGGAGGTTATCTCAAAATACTTGGCCAATAGTTTTCATCTGAAGACTTGGTCAATAGGTTACCTCAAAATACTTGGTCAATAGGTTACCTCAAAAGACATGGCCAATAGGTTATCTCAAAAGTCTTGGCCAGAAGGTTATCTCAAAAGTCTTGGTCAATAGTTTTCATCTGAAGACTTGGTCAGCAACTAGGGTTTAATCCATATACTTGGCCGATAGGTGATGTCTAAAGTCAGTCGTTCTATTAGATAAGGGGCCAGTATTAATAACAGATGAGGTGCTAGTCCTAACAGATAAAGGGACAGTGCTTCTAACAGATAAGGGGCCATCCTTCTACTAGATTAGGGGACAGTCATTCACACAGATAAAGGGCTAGTACTCCTACCAGATAAGGGGCCGTCCATCTACTAGATCAGGGGACAGTCATTCACACAGATAAAGGGCTAGTACTCCTACCAGATAAGGGGCCGTCCATCTACTAGATCAGGGGACAGTCATTCACACAGATAAAGGGCTAGTACTTCTACCAGATAAGGGGCCGTCCATCTACTAGATCAGGGGACAGTCATTCACACAGATAAAGGGCTAGTACTTCTACCAGATAAGGGGCTGGACCTTCTTCTAGATAAGGGTACAGTCATTCTTACAGATAAAATGCCAGTCCTTCTAACAGGTACGGGGTCAGTCATTCTTACAGATAAAGGGCCAGTAGTACTAACAGATAAAAGGCCAGTCCTTCTAACAGGTACGGGGTCAGTCCTTTCAATAGATACGGGTCAGTCATTCTTGCAGATGAGAAGCAAGTAATTCTAACAGACAAGGAGCCAGAATAACGATTTGTTTTGAACAACAAACATTTTCCAAACTTCAACAATATATATAACCATAACATTTACGTCAAGATAAAACTAAAATATGTATGAAAAACAATTCATTTCTCTAAATATCTACTATCAAGTATAAATTAGCACAGCCCATTATCTACCACTTTCTCAGTGAATAAAAACTCTCGGAAAAGAAAATATCTAAGAAATTGAAAAATAGTTCTAAAGCTTGAAAGCTCCTTAACGAAATTGTGTTATCACTAGTTACTAATCATTCCAACACTACAAGGGAACACAAACATAGAACATAGTAACAACCAAACCACACGTCACAAAATAAACCACTCGCTCTAGAGCATAAACTCAATTGTTATATTTCACAGATGTCCGACACTAAGAGTTTATGTCTATGCCAGATGTAAGACCAAACAGTCAGAAGAATCAGGTGTTTTTCTATTGTACATACTCAGGTATATACAGTAATTATTTCAACCTTTGAGAATATTTTCCTTGGTATAATGCAACATCTACAAGGTAGGTGAGACAAATTTCTGATATGTTTGGATTTCTTCAGACAACTTAATCACATAGACTACAACAGGTATACTACAACATAAAACAAAACCTACATGCCGTTTCAAGGAAATAAGCATACAAAAATAAATAACTGGTTCAGTTGTTGGCTCAGGCATCTGGGGCTACCAAAGAGGATCAATTATATAGATATCTCATCCTAAATTTAGCCATGGACCAGCAAAACTAAAAGTTTGTGACAGAACCAGCAACACTACAGAATTAGTTATCTTTCTGGCCTTGAGTCTGGTTCTGGGGCACCATATCTCTCTAGTAAATTCATTTGGGAACATTTAAAAAGGTGGTTCCAGGGACCATGAAGTCTTGTAAAGAATTAAAATATCTGTTCCTGCATTCAGTCCAAGGAATGACAAATATAAATGAGACAGTTTACCCAATATCTAGTCCACAGGGTCCTCAATTTTGTTCCCTGGGATCACAAAAACAAGACATAGAGAAACTGGTCTAATCTGACAACTTGTAGGACATGAAATGTCATACTACACAGAATGTGGGAATATGTAGTTGTATTTGGTATTTATACTGTATGATGTATTTACAAGTACTTTATCATACTGTGTAAAACAACTGGGAGCATGCCACCAGAATGAGCAGTTTCTCTGTATCCTGTAATTGGTCTGAGAGTCTAGATCCTCAGTGGTTGTCGTAGAAACGGAAGTGACAAGTAGTGCCAGGTACAATGGAATCGGTGAAATGATTGGTCATTCTCTGTCCTTGTTTTGGGTCCCATGCATCTTCATCGATTTTCTCCATCAACAACAAGTGTATTTAAAGCACACATTAAACATTTAGTGAGATAAAGTTTAAAATCTGAGCCATCTATGATACTTTGTTTTCAATTTGACAAGCCTTGACGCTTCCTCAGGAATTGTGATGACAATCTCTGGGCATGTTTCTTCAAGTATTCCTTTCCACCATTCTTAATCCATTCAGCCTCAAAGTCCTTTCCTAGAATTTCCGCTCCCTTCTTCCGACCTAATCCTGTCTCCTCTAGACTAAGTTCACACATCTGCATATCATCTACACCTGGAGACATATTGTACAATGATACATTATAACATTGTGAAAAAATTCTGTTAAATTTGTATTCATACGTAATCCCTCATCAATACTGTTCATTTTACTTTTGTAGAAAAAAAAATCTAAATCAAGAAAATAAAGTAAATATTGCGGTTGGCCATAGATATTGCAATCTATGATTTTGGAAACATACATATATTAGTTATGTTTGACTTTCCAAAGATAATATATCATTGCTTCATTTCTAAACTGCTTTTGCTAATACATTAACAGACTAGAAATAAATAACATAGCAATCTATCTTTGTAAGTAAGATTTGGAAGTTTAACAGATTATCTAAAGGTCTTGCTGTTATACTCTGTCTAGATACATGCTTCAGAGATTTCAGAGCAGGACTCACCTGAAACCAGGATAATTGGCTGTTTTTCAGGATACATCTCCATCTGTCTGGCAATCCACTGGCCATCAAAGTGAGCCCACCACATCCCATGTTTCTTTCCTGTTGGATTGTCACGGAAGTCATCCGAGGGACGAGCAAATGGTATTCGGAAAAACCTCTGGACAGCATCCTGTTTGGCATTGATGTTGGGTCTAGGGTTGATGGATTGTCCAGTAGCAGCTGCCATGGCCTCTGCAACAAATACAGCATACAGCTTTCTAACAATATCTTAATATTTGGTTAAGTCCACACAGGTTTTGTAAAAGGATTGATTTGTTTCATGTCTCAATAAAATTTCTAAAACAAGGAATCCCGGAGAGTTTATTAGTTCATTGTCAGCTTGCCATCTTCGTACTGTGCCTTTGAGAGATCCTACTTATAACTGCTAGATATTCTTTGAACTGTTTGTCTAAAAATGCTTGAATCAGTCCCGCCTGTTTTTCTCTTAATCCTGTGGTGTCCAAATTCAAAGAGATAGAACTTGTGAGTCATACAATCAAATGCTTTCCTGTTTACCATTAAACACCTTTAAATTTGTGCCCAGTGTCATTAACTGTTTTTGATTGTACAGGACATTTCTGATGTCCATGTTGGTTAGGAGAGGATAAATTGTCACATTGTATTGGTGCAATGGTTCATTTTAAATTAAAGTATCATTTCAGACAGGAATTTCAATATTTAGTGAAAGTCATTTTAATCAGATTTTGTATGTTGCCATCTGTGAAACACAAGAAACCCATAAAGAAGACATGAAATGATGACTAAGGGTATTTTTCTCCATCTTTTGTCAAGTTTTGCCGTTCATAAATTAGAGGCTAAATGAGCATCCCACCTGCATTTTCCACCAAATCTTTAGGTGCTCGCTCATCAGGTGTATTGTCATTCGTCTTCTTGTTCCTTGATTTCCATGCATGATAGACTTTTAATCGTCTATGGAATTCCGCTCTGCAGGCATCAAGCAGCTCAATATCTACAATGATGAGATATTTCACAGCTCAATATTTAAAAAAAACAATCATTTAACAGTTCAATAACTAAAATGACCAGATATTTAGCAGCTTAATATCTACAATGATGAGATATTTCACAGCTCAATATTTAAAAAAACAATCATTTAACAGTTCAATAACTAAAATGACCAGATATTTCACAGCTCAATATCTACAATGATGAGATATTTCACAGCTCAATATCTACAATGATGAGATATTTCACAGCTCAATATCTACAATGATGAGATATTTCACAGCTCAATATCTACAATGATGAGATATTTCACAGCTCAATATTTAAAAAAACAATCATTTATCAGTTCAATAACTAAAATGACCAGATATTTCACAGCTCAATATCTACAATGATGAGATATTTCACAGCTCAATATTTAAAAAAACAATCATTTATCAGTTCAATAACTAAAATGACCAGATATTTCACAGCTCAATATCTACAATGATGAGATATTTCACAGCTCAATATTTAAAAAAACAATCATTTAACTGCTCAATATCTACAATGATGAGATATTTCACAGCTCAATATCTACAATGATGAGATATTTCACAGCTCAATATCTACAATGATGAGATATTTCACAGCTCAATATCTACAATGATGAGATATTTCACAGCTCAATATCTACAATGATGAGATATTTCACAGCTCAATATTTAAAAAAACAATCATTTATCAGTTCAATAACTAAAATGACCAGATATTTCACAGCTCAATATCTACAATGATGAGATATTTCACAGCTCAATATTTAAAAAAACAATCATTTATCAGTTCAATAACTAAAATGACCAGATATTTCACAGCTCAATATCTACAATGATGAGATATTTCACAGCTCAATATCTACAATGATGAGATATTTCACAGCTCAATATCTACAATGATGAGATATTTCACAGCTCAATATTTAAAAAAACAATCATTTATCAGTTCAATATCTACAATGATCCAACATTTTGAAGCTCAATATCTACAATGATCAGGCATTATGCAACTCAACGTCTGCAATGATCTGACACCAACCAGCTCAACTTCTACAAAAGATTTCTACCAATGTGATAACAGTTCTTCCAGTATATCCAAAACTTTCTCACTTTCTCTACTGTATTAGAAGTATTAATCCAACAAAAACCATCAAATTTATCATTTTACTACATGTAGATGACCTTGCACCATGAGTCAAGTTGAATTAAACATTATTTATTGTAAAACAAATATGAAACAAGTTTTTTTAACTTATATTTATCACTCTTGTTGGCCCAGATGAAAGCATGTAAGGGGTCTTACTGTAGGAAGTGCCTGTGGAAACCCACCTTGTCAAGCAGGTGACCAAAAACCTTTTCATGTTTGTTCCAAGAATCAAACCCCAGATGATTAGGTGAAAGTGTCGTGAGTCAAGTGTAGTGACCAATGAAGACAATCATACAATAAAACGTGGTAATCAATAGATCATTTATTGTAGATAAGCTAAAACTGACATCAACCAAGCTGCTTAAAACTACACCAAAGTCTACTGGCAGATGATAGACTTACCACATGAGGTGTTGATAGTGTCACGTAGCTCTGCATACTTCCATTTGGACAAGTCATACTTCTTAGACAGCAGGGCTGTACGGGCTGCTTGGACCTCTGCAGACCTAAACATGCCAAAGAATTGTTATAAGATAATCAAAACAAATCATTAATATACACAATTAAATTTTATCATTATGTATTATTTATATCAGGTGAAGTATATAAAAAAAGTACCAGTTAAGTTATAACATTAAAGTGTTACCTTTATCAGCCTGAATCTGAATATATTTATAAAAAGATGTAGATAAAAAGTCCCCGGAAAACAGGTAAGAACTCCGTTCTTAATCATAACATCAAATAGCATTTCTTGATACCTATTATTATCAAGATCACTTTAATATTTTTATTGTGACTATAAAGCTACAGAGAAGAGATTGAAGATGAAAAAGCTAACATAGAGATAATCCCATACATAACACTTTCACAGAGTTAAGTTTCTCTACAAACTGACAAAATTTTTCACACAAAACTTCAAAAAAACAAACAAACACAGAAAAGTTCAAGTGTGTGACAAACCACAGGCTAGCTATTAGCAGTCAATTGTGTCAGGAAGGAGATTCCAAGGCTAATGGCAAGCCATGGTGACCAGGAAAAAGAACAGAATTACAAAGTAATGGACAGGAGGATGACCTGGAAATGATATCAGTATGTAAAAAGAATAGCACATCAGGAAAGTAGGGTGAAACAGTGGAAGAAAATGATGGTAACACAGGACAGTAATTCTGGTCATAGTAGCAAATAACAGGAATACAAGACACAATTACCAATGGCTAGAAACCAGGATGATAATGGACAGGAAGTCAGGATAAAATACATCATGTACTAGATAGAAAGTCAGGATGGCACAGGAAGGATGGTACTGGGCAGAAAGTTGGAATGACACGAGAAGGATGACATTAAATGGGGAAGGATGAAACGGGAAAAATCATACTGGACTGAAGGTCTGGATGACATCATATACGAATGGACAGGAAGTCTTGGTGACCCAAGATAATACTGGACAGAGGGTCAGGATGAAACAGGATGATAATGGACAGGAATCTGGATGACACAGGTTAATAATGGCGGGATGTCTGGGTGACACAGGATGATACTGGACAGGAAGTCTGGATGACACAGAATGATACTGGACAGGAAGTCAGGATGACACAGGATGATACTGGACAGGAAGTCAGGATGACACAGGATGATACTGGACAGGAAGTCTGGATGACACAAAATGATACTAGACTGGAGGTCAGGATGACTGGAAACAATGTTACTGGATACGGGACAGGTCAGGATAATACAGGAAAATAAGTCTTGATGACAAGAAAAGATATGATAATGGACAGGAAGTGCGAATGGCACTGAAAGGATGATACTGAACAAGAAATGATGATGACAAGGGAAAGCTGATGCCGGACAGGAAGTCAGGATGATCCTGGAAGTATGGTACTGAACAGTAAGTCAGGATGAGGGGGAGGGGGGAAGATGATAGTAAACAGGAAGTCAGGATGACAATGGGAAGATGACAGTGGACAGGAAGTCAGGATGACAAGGGGAAGATGATAGTGGACAGGAGGTCTGGATGGCAAGAGAAAAATGATACTAGACAGGAAGTCAGGATGGCATTGGAAGGATGATACTGGACAGGAAGTCAGGATGACAAGGGAAAGATGAAAGTGGACAGGAGGTCAGGATGGCATTGGAAGGATGATACTGGACAGGAAGTCAGGATGATGAAGGAAGGATAATACTGGACAGGAAGTCAGGATGATGAAGGAAGGATGATACTGGACAGGAAGTCAGGATGATGAAGGAAGGATAATACTGGACAGGAAGTCAGGATGATGAAGGAAGGATGATACTGGACAGGAAGTCAGGATGATGAAGGAAGGATGATACTGGACAGGAAGTCAGGATGATGAAGGAAGGATGATACTGGACAGGAAGTCAGGATGATGAAGGAAGGATGATACTGGACAGGAAGTCTAAGAGGTCCTTTCTATGTTTATATGCATTTACTTATGGGATAGATACATTGCATTCTTAATTGTTCATTAAAACATCACCAGTTATAAGCCTCTTGCATTTTTTGTGCAGGCATTAAGGACAGGACATGTAGGATAGAGAATTGGCAAACATACATCCATGTAATTCTAGTGCATGCAACATGTTGAATGACAATGCTCCATTACATTTGTCAATTGTTCACTGTATTCATACCAGGCCTTTTAGCTAAAGTTAAGACATGTGCTGCTATTATTCTACTACATAATAACATTTCCTACTACAAGTTAATAGTCATTGCTTCTTTGAATGATCAGCATCCTCATTCATATCAATAAAAAGTATCACCATAGCAACCATTTCAATATCTCAATGTGCAAATTCTCTGGTAAAAAGTGAGTAAGCAAGCTTTGTTAGGTCTAGACACTAGAAAAGCAGGAAAACTGCAATGTGAGTACAAAAAGGAATTTGTTGTGGCATTCAAAAAATAAGAAAATGGTGGTGATTCCATGTACCTTTCTTTTGTAGTGCTATTGACAAAACAGAAAACAAATTATGATAAAGTGAAGGTCCAAGGAAAATGTTTAGGTACAGTCAGAAAAATTGTTGTGGTATTTGCTGTCAGTTTAATTCAAGGTTATAAATCCAAGTATTCTGCATTATTTTCCATAGACACTGCATGGATCATGGAGCAAATTTTTCTGTCCTTTTGAAACGACTTTTGTGTCAATGTTACAGGTAAGGTAATATGGAGCTGGCGTATACAATAATTAGGTTTGTCTGCAATTACCAATGATATCTCATTAGTAAAATATCATCACAGACTTTGTAGTAAAATATTATAGACTGACCAGAGAAATGTCATAAACTGACCAGTGTTATAGATTGACCAGTGTTATAGGTTGACCAGTGTTATATGTTGACCGGTGAAATATTAGACTAAATAGTGAAATGTAATAGACTGACCAGTGAAATATCATAAACTGACCAGTGTTATAGATTGACCGGTGAAATATTAGACTAAATAGTGAAATGTTATAGACTGACCAGATAAATGTCATAGACTGACCAGTGTTATATATTGACCAGTGTTATAGGTTGACCAGAGAAATATTAGACTGAATAGTGAAATGTTATAGACTGACCAGTGAAATATTAGACTGAATAGTGAAATGTTATAGACTAACCAGAGAAATGTTATAGACTGACTAGTGTTATATGTTGACTGGTAAAATATTATAGATTGAATAGAGAAATGTTATAGACTGACCACAGAAATGTAACAGACTGACCAGTGTTATAGTCTGACCAGTGTCACAGACTGAGAAATGAACTGTCATTGTTTAACCAGTGATATCTTCATGTAATCTACTTCGACTACACATAATTAACAGGTATACCTTTAAAGTCATTCTTAATCAAGACACATATTCTGTTAGAGGTTGTGTCACCTAATATCTATCATACTGTTTAACATACATGAAATAAATATAACAAAACGTAGAAGGTGAAGGTCATTGTAACAAAATATAGGTGAAGGTCATGGCAGACCATAAAGTGAAGGGTCATGGAGGTCAATAGTCTTACTTCTCTATGACCATACTGATGGCTCTGTCAGCATTATAAAGGAGAAGAAAGATTAGTCAGAAATACATGTCTGTACCCAGGTTATATAACAAAGTTACAATCAATAGCCTTCAAAGTTTCTCTATTATATCAATGGAACAGTATAGAAAACCATTATCCAGATTCTGAGAATATGATGCGTGTTATGGAAGATGAAGAAATAAGGGTTTGTTAGAATCTGTAGAGGGCAGCTGTACCTCTGTAGTGGAGGCACCACCACGTCCTCTACAGCATTTTGGTCCTCCATAGCAAGACGTAGAGCCAGCTCTCTGTCTCGGTGCTCCTGTTCCAGCTGCTGCTGTCTACAACACAATCAGCAATACATTCTTATTAAACTTTATAAGAACATGAGGAAATATCAGACTTGCTGGATACCACAGGATGTATGGCAAAAACAAAGATGTCACAGAGGTAACATAACATGTTCACAAATAAACACAGAATTCATCCTCCATAAAAGGCATTGATAAAGTTTTGATACCTACATCTGGTTTTGGTTGCCATAGTTACATACCTTTCTTTGTTCTCCTTGGCCTCCTTAGCCAACAGTGCCTTCATCTTCTCCCTCTCTACACGTTCTGCCTCTTCTTTCTTCTTCTGCTCCTCCTCTTCTCGTTTCCTTTTAGCCTCCATCTCTGCTTTTCTGTAACAGCAGCATGGTTAAGATAAAACAAATTGATACTAAGGTGTATTTTAACCTGCACCTTTCCTGTCAACATGACAAATAATTAATATGACTACTGTAAACTTATCTTTGTGCAATCAAATTTTAGCGCAATATCAATTTTGAAAAAAGTAGCACATTGAATTTGTACATTTCAATAATTGTTTTGTTAATAACATACTTATACAGAAATTATTGCAATCATATGTTAGCGCACCATCTTCAGCTAAAATAACATTACCGCTAAAATAACATAACAGCTAAAATATGTACCTTACAGTGTCATCATAAAGAAAGCAGAATAAGAAATATTACCATCTACTAGGAAAACAAGAATATTACTATGTACAATAGTAGAATAATAAATAAAGCCATTTATAACAGCATAATCATGAAAATCACCTTGTACAACAGCAGAATCATGAAAGTCACCATGTACAACAGCAGAATCATGAAAGTCACCATGTACAACAGCAGAATCATGAAATATGTACAACAGCAGAATCATGAAAGTCACCATGTATCATATACAACAGCAGAATCATGAAAGTCACCATGTACAACAGCAGAATCATGAAAACCACCATGTACAACAGCAGAATCATGATAGTCACCATGTACAACAGCAGAATCATGAAAGTCATCATGTACAACAGCAGAATCATGAAAATCACCATATACAACAGCAGAATCATGAAAGTCACCAATATACAACAGCAGAATCATGAAAATCACTATGTACAACAGCAGAATCATGAAAATCACCATGTACAACAGCAGAATCATGAAAATCACTATGTACAACAGCAGAATCATGAAAGTCACCATGTACAACAGCAGAATCATGATAGTCACAGCAGAATCATGAAAGTCACCATGTACAACAGCAGAATCATGAAAATCACCATGTACAACAGCAGAATCATGAAAGTCACCATGTACAACAGCAGAATCATGAAAGTCACCATGTACAACAGCAGAATCATGAAAGTCACCATGTACAACAGCAGAATCATGAAAATCACCATATACAACAGCAGAATCATGAAAGTCATCATATACAACAGCAGAATCATGAAAGTCACCATGTCACAGCATGTACAACAGCAGAATCATGAAAGTCACCATGTACAACAGCAGAATCATGAAAGTCACCATGTACAACAGCAGAATCATGAAAGTCACCATGTACAACAGCAGAATCATGAAAGTCACCATGTACAACAGCAGAATCATGAAAATCACCATGTACAACAGCAGAATCATGAAAGTCACCTTGTACAACAGCAGAATCATGAAAGTCACCATGTACAACAGCAGAATCATGAAAGTCATCATATACAACAGCAGAATCATGAAAGTCACCATGTACAACAGCAGAATCATGAAAACCACCATGTACAACAGCAGAATCATGATAGTCACCATGTACAACAGCAGAATCATGAAAGTCAACATGTACAACAGCAGAATCATGAAAGTCACCATGTACAACAGCAGAATCATGAAAGTCACCATGTACAACAGCAGAATCATGAAAGTCACCATGTACAACAGCAGAATCATGAAAGTCACCTTGTACAACAGCAGAATCATGAAATCACCATCTACAACAGCAGAATCATGAAAGTCACTATGTACAACAGCAGAATCATGAAAGTCATCATGTACAACAGCAGAATCATGAAAGTCACCATGTACAACAGCAGAATCATGATAGTCACCATGTACAACAGCAGAATCATGAAAGTCATCATATACAACAGCAGAATCATGAAAATCACTATGTACAACAGCAGAATCATGAAAGTCACCATGTACAACAGCAGAATCATGATAGTCACCATGTACAACAGCAGAATCATGAAAGTCATCATATACAACAGCAGAATCATGAAAATCACTATGTACAACAGCAGAATCATGATCAAGTACAACAGCAGAATCATGAAAGTCACCATGTACAACAGCAGAATCATGAAAGTCACCATGTACAACAGCAGAATCATGAAAGTCACCATGTACAACAGCAGAATCATGAAAGTCACCATGTACAACAGCAGAATCATGAAAGTCACCATGTACAACAGCAGAATCATGAAAGTCACCATGTACAACAGCAGAATCATGAAAGTCACCATGTACAACAGCAGAATCATGAAAGTCACCATGTACAACAGCAGAATCATGAAAATCACCATGTACAACAGCAGAATCATGAAAGTCACCATGTACAACAGCAGAATCATGAAAGTCACTATGTACAACAGCAGAATCATGAAAATCACCATGTACAACAGCAGAATCATGAAAGTCACCATGTACAACAGCAGAATCATGAAAGTCACCATGTACAACAGCAGAATCATGAAAGTCACCATGTACAACAGCAGAATCATGACAGCAGAATCATGAAAGTCACCATGTACAACAGCAGAATCATGAAAGTCACCATGTACAACAGCAGAATCATGAAAGTCACCATGTACAACAGCAGAATCATGAAAGTCACTATGTACAACAGCAGAATCATGAAAGTCATCATATACAACAGCAGAATCATGAAAGTCACCATGTACAACAGCAGAATCATGAAAATCACCATATACAACAGCAGAATCATGAAAGTCATCATATACAACAGCAGAATCATGAAAGTCACCATGTACAACAGCAGAATCATGAAAACCACCATGTACAACAGCAGAATCATGATAGTCACCAGAATCATGTACAACAGCAGAATCATGAAAGTCACCATGTACAACAGCAGAATCATGAAAGTCACCATGTACAACAGCAGAATCATGAAAATCACCATGTACAACAGCAGAATCATGAAAGTCACCATGTACAACAGCAGAATCATGAAAGTCACCATGTAGAACAGCAGAATCATGAAAGTCACCATGTACAACAGCAGAATCATGAAAATCACCATTTACAACAATAAAACTATGAATATTACCATGTAAAATAGTAGCATCATACATATAATGGAGCTTAGCAAATACAGAGAAATCACACATCACTTACAGCCTCCTTTCCTCTTCCTCTGCCTTTTTCTTCCTTTCTTCTTCTTCCTTCCTCTTTTTTTCTCTCTCCATTTCTTCCTGTAAAGTAAAGAAAAAGACAAAGATACAAAGAATTAAAACAATTGTAAATTCCTCAGCAGATTTTTCCTTAACTCAGATATAGCACTTACCTCTCTATAACTTGTAACCAGTGAATTGATAAATTGAATTGTGTCTGGTCTATTTGACAGGTAGGGAGTGCTATAACTCAGCTAATACAGGAGGTGTGTAGTTCGATCCCCACCTGAGAGATTTTTACTGCTCAAAACCCTGAGATAACATTTCAATGTAGGCCGTTGGATTTGTCTTTGTGGGCCTCCCTTCTGTTGTTCAGTTACAAAGCCAACAGATACTGTGGGAGGCTCTCACAAAAAGACCCTGACTGTTGACAGAGTGATTGATCCATAAACAAACAGTATATTACTGAATTTAATTTACAAATGAGTATTTTGTGTGGAAAGAAAGACACTAAAAAACAATCTGGTATTCTGCAGGAATTCCAAGCATTTAAAATCTGGTATGATAATCTGCTATCACAGATTTAATTAATGCTCCAAAGCTGTAGTGATCTAGTATCATAAGCCTTAAATACCATAACCTAGAAATGAGGGTATTCAGCAGCTGGTGGCTACTTCATTGAATATACAGGAGGCCTATTGCATCCAGAGCCCTTCTAAATTACAAGAAAAAGGGAATAGCCTTGAGGAAGTCGTGTAAAGCATTGACAGCTTTTTAAAAGAATTACATGTTCTAGACCTGAAGTGTAATCTGATGAAGATATCACAAATGGGTCCTACTAAGACAGCTGTATGATACAGTTTAATTCCTTATCAACTAATTATGAATTTGTATTAAAACGTTTAAACCTTAGAAGTCTTACTTCTGCCTCTATGTCAAATCATAGAAAAATTACCTGTATTTTTCTTAGTCTTTCTTGCTCCTCCTTGATCTTCTGTTTCTCCAGCAGTTTGCGTATACCCTGGGTATTTTGGTCCATCTGAGTAAGCAGGTTGTTGTAAGTTCTCTCCATCTCCACTGGACTGATGTCTGTCTTCTGTTCATGGAGACATGGAAATTTAATTTAGTGTCTCTCAGATTAACTTAACTCAAAACAAAACTACTCTTGACAATGTATTTAATCAAGGCCTGTATGTGGCCTGTTGTTATGTTACCTGCTATTGCATGGTGTAACTAGTAATGTCCTGTATGTGGCCTGTTGTGGTGTACCCTGTAGTTGTATGGTATGACTACCCAAGATCTGTAATACAGTATGTAGCCTGTTGTTGTATGATGTAACTACCCAAGGCCTGTATATGACCTGTTGTTATGTTACCTGCTATTGCATGGTGTAACTAGTAATGTCCTGTATGTGGCCTGTTGTGGTGTACCCTGTAGTTGTATGGTATGACTACCCAAGATCTGTATGTACCCTGTTGTTGTATGATGTAACTACTCAAGGCCTGTATGTGGCCTGTTGTTATGTACCCTGTTGTTGTATGATGTAACTACCCAAGATCTGTATGTGGCCTGTTGTTATGTACCCTGTTGTTGTATGATGTAACTACTCAAGGCCTGTATGTGGCCTGCTGTTATGTACCCTGTTGTTGTATGATGTAACTACCCAAGGCCTGTATGTGGCCTGTTATGTACAAAGTAGTAGTATATGACCTGATGTTTCTTACCCTGATTTTAGTGATGAAGGAATTCAGCGCTATTTGAATGGCCTCCACTTGTTTTGTAGCAGAATCCTTATCTTTCTTAAGCTGAGACACAATCTTGGACATCTCAGTGACCTGGCCTTGAGAGGCTTCCACCTTGGAGATCATCTTAAATCTGAAAAAAAATCAAGACGTGTATGAAAAACAGCACTAATACTGTCAGGGTTTTCCATAAGTGTCGGCCGCCGGCCAATTTGACCGGCTATTTTGGTCATTTGGCCGCCTACACCAATCCAGTTCCGTAATAATGTTCCATACACAACTACACGTACACGGCAGGCCAGCCTCCTACTTTCACTACACAGCCTACTACTAACAAAATTATGGAAAACCCTGACTGTTTAATAACAGTTATCAACTTAACACATAAATACCAATGTAGCTTAACACTGAAATACTGCCCAAGCTGACTCAAAATTTAAGTCTACAGATAATTACTGGCTCTTTTTACTGACACTTATTGATGTAACAAGTGAACATTAACACACATTGACTCAATACATACACAGACACTGAATCGGCATATAAATATGGCACCTGACTTAACATGTGCACCTCTATACTGACATCTATTGGCTCCACAAATAATGCTGTCACTTATTGACTCAACACAAAACTATTGTCACTTATTGACTAAACAAATAAACACTGGAGCCTACTGACTCAAGAAATAAATACGGCCACTTAATGACTCACACATAGATATTGCCACTTATTGACTCAACATGTAAATACTGTCACTTATTGACTCAACATGTAAATAATGCCACTTATTGACTCAACATGTAAATACCGCCACTTATTGACTCAACATGTAAATACGGCCACTTAATGATTCACACATAGATACTGCCACTTATTGACTCAACATGTAAATACTGTCACTTATTGACTCAACATGTAAATACCGCCACTTATTGACTCAACATGTAAATACCGCCACTTATTGACTCAACATGTAAATACGGCCATTTAATGACTCACACATAGATATTGCCACTTATTGACTCAACATGTAAATACCGCCACTTATTGACTCAACATGTAAATACGGCCACTTAATGATTCACACATAGATACTGCCACTTATTGACTCAACATGTAAATACTGTCACTTATTGACTCAACATGTAAATACCGCCACTTATTGACTCAACATGTAAATACCGCCACTTATTGACTCAACATGTAAATACGGCCATTTAATGACTCACACATAGATACTGCCACTTATTGACTCAACATGTAAATACTGTCACTTATTGACTCAACATGTAAATAATGCCACTTATTGACTCAACATGTAAATACCGCCACTTATTGACTCAACATGTAAATACGGTCACTTAGTGACTCACACATAGATACTGCCACTTATTGACTCAACATGTAAATACTGTCACTTATTGACTCAACATGTAAATACTGTCACTTATTGACTCAACATGTAAAAAGTGCCACTTATTGACTCAACATGTAAATACTGTCACTTATTGACTCAACATGTAAATACTGTCACTTATTGACTCAACATGTAAATAATGCCACTTATTGACTCAACATGTAAATACTGTCACTTGTTGACTCAACATGTAAATACTGTCACTTATTGACTCAACATGTAAAAAGTGCCACTTATTGACTCAACATGTAAAAAGTGCCACTTATTGACTCAACACAAAAATATTGTCACTGACTGACTCACTAATAGATACTGCCATTTATTGACTCAACATGTAAATACGGTCACTTACTGACTCACACATAGATACTGTCATTTATTGACTCAACATGTAAATACGGTCACTTAGTGACTCACACATAGATACTGCCACTTACTGACTCAACATGTAAATACTGTCACTTATTGACTCAAGATGTAAATACTGTCATTTATTGACTCAACAAATAAACATGGAAACATATTACCTCTACTCTTAAATAAAAAGGATACTCATAAACTCAACATATAAATACAAACATCAATGTACTCAAAACATCATAGAAACACATTTTAAATACTACAGACACTTTTAACTCAACCTTTATGGACTTAGACAAACTTGTATAAACTCAATGTACCAATACTGACACCTGACAACTGTTGACTTAACATATAAACACCAATTTATTTTGCAATCCCATGAAAAAACTTCTTGTTATCCAGGTTAGGCAGTACATCACAAAAACACTAATATGAGATACAGTGTAATTAAAATTGCTATAATCTTAGATCAGAATTCTGTAGACAACAGGGTCATAGCTTATCACAGAGCAACATCCTTGTTAGAGCTTAAAACATCACCTTATAACATGTGCTGCAAGTCTGAATTTTAATTCTAAGTATCAGGGTTTAAGTGACTTACTTAGGCCTGAACTTGTGGACATCCCTCCACATCCTGACTGTTTTCTGGAGACAGATGATCTGTTCACGGCGCCATAGAATCTTATTCTTCACTGTAAATAAGTAAAAAGAGAGAGTTCTCATAAACACTTGTAACATGAACAACACAAGAAATAAAACATTTTCCTCAAAAATTTTAAGGATGTCAAAACCAAATTTCAAATCCAACAAGAAGGTACCTCGAATATCAATACCCTCTGCTTTCTGCCAAGGGTACTACACTACATTACAATATAGCATACAAGGTTGCTTTACTATCAAACAAAGGTGGTGTAGTTCAGTAAAACAACCATACTTGTATCACTCAGGCAGGCAGCTAGTATCACAGTCAGCATTCTATAACCCTTTTTCTTTACATCTTGAAATGATGCAGAACCACCTTATTCATCAAATAATCAATTTAGGGAAAGTATTTGACTTGGCTACTCTTGCTTTTGCTGTTTGGTGCAAAACGACAATTCATACAGAACTCTGTAAGTTATAGATAGAAGTTGATCAGAAATTAGCAACAAAAAATTGTTGGCATTTACGACTGAAGAATGATTATGAACATTTTACTCACATTTGATGACAGACAGGCCACACCACTGTGCCTTTTTCCAGCGAGAACAGATAAGCCAGCGCTTCACCTTCTTCACAAGTGCTGCCAGGTTTTCAGGGTCGCTCTTCATCAGCTGATCAAACTCAGCAAACTTCCCAGGTCGGAAAAACACCTTGGTGAGCCCAAACTTGAAGTCTTTGTCATCCAGCCCTAGGGCTTTGAACAGTGCCTGTAATATTCAGTCCAACAGTTTTAGTGAACAATACCTGTGACAGTCCTAGAATAGTACCTTAATATTCAGCTCAAGAGCTTAAACAGCAACTGTAGCATTCAGTTACCGGACATAGAGCAGTTCCTTTAACCTTTGATAAAACATATTTAGTTTTATAGTTTAAGTTGTTCAAACTAACCCAATCACTGAGGTTTTAGCATCATTCTCAGACGTTCAGTGTTTGGTCCTGCTCAATGATAAATGCTAACCCATTCAATAGGACAACAAAATTGATTATGTCAAAATGGTAGAAAACTGAGAACCTACCTTGCAGAAGAGACGAGGATCAAGACGAGCCAGCTCTGGAGGAAGGTAGCGTTTGTACATGTTGTACAGCTCACTAAACTGAGTACGAGATGGGAAACCTTGCTGCATCAGATCTAACACTGAATTCATACCTGTAACACACAAGTCAGATTGATACTGATAAAATAACTATCAAAAGCTCATGTCAGGATTAATTAAAAAAAAAATGGTTCAAATTGCATAACAGACAAATTGAATTAAAATAGCTAATTTGATTTACAATTTCTATGTTATTTACAACAGCTATATCACAGCATACATTTAACATCTCAGTCTGTATTACTTGGGTAGTGGCTCCTATATTTCTATAATTACATCTATTTAAATTATGACACAGTGAGTCAATATTTTGCTAAGTTACATTAGTCATTGTCTGATGATGGTAATACTAATACTAATTACTCATGACATCAACTTTCTTACCTGAACACTCCAGCTGGCTGAGAATCTGGGCACCTTCAAACATGTGGTCCACCATTTTCAAGTTAGGTTTGATACATCTGATAAAATTGGTTCCCTGTTCAGAAAAACCAAAATAAATTGATTTTCATTTGTATAAACATGGTTTTGTAAATGACAGATAATGTAGATTACAAATACTAGTTACACAAGTGACAGACTATGACAAAGTGAGTGAGATTGTGAAAGTGATGAAGTAAGAGAACGATTGTGTCAATGTGAAAATTATGAAAGTAAAAAAAGAGACAAATTGTGAAAGTGACAATTAAGATACTGAATGTGTAAGTAACAGAGTGACAAATTGTGCGACAGAAAAAGAGACAAGTTTTGTAAGGGTCAAAGTAAGTGACAAATTGTGCGACAGAAAAAGAGACAAGTTTTGTAAGGGTCAAAGTAAGTGACAAATTGTGTGACAGAAAAAGAGACAAGTTTTGTAAGGGTCAAAGTAAGTGACAAATTGTGCGACAGAAAAAGAGACAAGTTTTGTAAGGGTCAAAGTAAGTGACAAATTGTGTGACAGAAAAAGAGACAAGTTTTGTAAGGGTCAAAGTAAGTGACAAATTGTGCGACAGAAAAAGAGACAAGTTTTGTAAGGGTCAAAGTAAGTGACAAATTGTGCGTAAGTGTTACAGTCAGAGACAAAGTGTTTCTGTTTACCGTGGATTTAAGTTTCTCCATCAGGACAACAAGTTGGGATCTGAACTTGCTGCCAACACTGATGAAATTGAGCTTTCCAGATGAGACCTTGACACCCTCAAACATCTTCTTCAGAAGTTCATTCTTACTGTCTTGTATGAGGAACTCCAGGGATGCGTGCAGAGAGTCATTATTCTTTTCTATAAATTGTACCTAAACAAACAAAAAAAATGTTGCAATTAGTAGAAATGATGGGAAAGAACCCAGTACACCCCTCATTATATCATTCCTGTCGAGATTATTTGGAAATGCACAGTAATACCAAAATCTGAAACAGCACCACTGGGGACAAAAGGGAACCCAGAAATATAAGAACAGTTGACCTATTAGTTCCACAGATAAAACAATATCATTCTTTTACACTTCTGATTCCAAAAAGGATATATATTGGCTATTTCGTTTTTTGCAATCAACTTCAAATCCTTTATATAAAGAAAGAGCAGCCGTGCACTTCTCAAGGTACAGTCATTAAGACAACTAATCTGTAATTAGGAAAATACAAGATGGCCCCCGTTGATCATTTTGTTTTCCTTATTCTCAAATTAAACAGATACAACAGAACATAAACAATAATTCTGTTTGAATGTTCAAGTGAATAATTTATAGGAAGAGTAACAAAGCTCTATCTTATTATTCATGAATGATTTAAGTTAAATTATTCAATATGACAAAAACACCCTACCAAAACACCCTACAAAAACACCCTACCAAAACTTCTTATTTTGCCCAAGAAATCAGATTAAAATTTTCTAACAATGTTTTGTGGCTGTTGAAATGACACTCTTTGATGAACTAAGTTTAAAAGACACCAATTGTTGATATGAATTGCTAATTAAACAATAGCATCTTAAATCATTTTGTTTGCATTCTTTCACCATAAGACATTCCTTAACATTGTAACTACACTAGAAATGTTCCACTTATCGTGTGGTAGCAGACAGCACCAGCAAAGTGATGAATATTGTAACTACACAAGAAATGTTCCACTTACCGTGTGGTAGCAGACAGCACCAGCAAAGTGACGAATATTGTAACTACACAAGAAATGTTCCACTTACCGTGTGGTAGCAGACAGCACCAGCAAAGTGACAAATATTGTAACTACACAAGAAATGTTCCACTTACCGTGTGGTAGCAGACAGCACCAGCAAAGTGACGAATATTGTAACTACACAAGAAATGTTCCACTTACCGTGTGGTAGCAGACAGCACCAGCAAAGTGACGAATATTGTAACTACACAAGAAATGTTCCACTTACCGTGTGGTAGCAGACAGTACCAGCAAAGTGACGAATATTGTAACTACACAAGAAATGTTCCACTTACCGTGTGGTAGCAGACAGCACCAGCAAAATGACGAATATTGTAACTACACAAGAAATGTTCCACTTACTGTGTGGTAGCAGACAGCACCAGCAAAATGACGGATAAGGAATCCCTCTTCATCTCGTACATCACGGTGCATCTTCAGTTTAGATTTGCGAGGCAGCTGTAACATAAATAATGGTTTAACAGCGACATGCTGTGATATATCAAAGTGATAGAACCCTACTTTTCTGTTCATAAGTTATGTCTTCATTAATCCAATCATAACATATTGGGTGGTCATGTGACACAGTGGTAATTCACTCGCTTTTCACAAAGAAACACAGGGTTTAATTCCCTGAATGGATGTGAAAAGGTTTGGGAGTCACTTGCCCAACTGTGTGAGTTTTTCCTGTGTACTGTTTCCTCCAACAGTAAGACCTCGTACCCGCTTCTCTGAGCCAACGAGAGCGATTAACATAAGCTTACAATTTGTTTCACCACTGTCATAAAATTTATTAAGTTTATATATACATATACATTTTCTTCAGGTTAAATCCACATCAGGATAAATCTTAATGTTGAGTTATACTATTGAAACTTACACTGAGCCTGAAGTGTTTTTTGTTACGGTTGTGCACCTCCATGGTGAAGTGATCTGGTTTTGGTTGCGGCAGTTTACTTTCCTCATCCAGTAAGTCAAATATTCCAGATCCTTTCATCTCAATCAACTCTGTAATATAACAAAATAAAACATAAAAAATCCCAACCCCTTTCATGTAGATCAACACCTGAAACATCCTGTCTGGTATCCAGAATCAATACAATATCATTCTGTCATCTGTCTAGTAGCTACAGTTTCCCGACTGTTTTCAATGTATCGAGATGACATAATTTCTTTAACATAGACTATCACTGATTCAGGGTGGCTGGGTGGTGCAGTGGTAACACACTCACCTTTCACCTAGCTGACCAGGGTTCGATTCCCGGAACGGACGTGAATAGGTAAGGGGTAACCTGCCCGACCACCTGGGTTTTCCCCGGGTACTCCAGTTTCCTCCCACAATATGACCCCTCGCACACTTACATCCGGGCCAACAAGAGTGATTCGTATAAATTGACATAACTTGTTTCGCAATTGTTGTAAAATAAATAAAGTTTTGAAGTTTATTTACTGATTCAGGTGCATCCAGACATGTCTGACCAATCATCAAGGTCTTAAGTACCTCGAAATGGTTAAATTTGATTTAAAAATGTTTTGTTCATTGTTTTCAACTACTGTCAGGAACACTTTTATCAGTGACTGCATGTAGATTTTTTTCAACAAATGAGGAGAATAATAAAATGATTATAAATGCCAGGATCATCACTCTCCAACACTCACCAATACAATCCTTGTTGTCTGTCCATTCAATCTTCTTCACATTGAGGCCTTCTTTCTCATAAAGCAGTTGTTCCTTAAACACAACATATCCTTTTTATTAAGTTGTCACCGACCCTTATCTGAGTAATTGATAGTAATTCTTCACAACATCTTAAACTGTTACATTATATGATGTACACCTTCACAAGTTTAAGCAGTGCTCCTTTTGACTGAACAATTTTGTAAATTTATGATTACTAGCATTTAAATGCTATCATTGTATATAAATCATTCTTGTATTTCTAATGCTTCTGTTCATGTTTTGATGCCTTTGATGTTAATCTCCTGTAATTAGGTCATTTTTAAAAATATAGCATTCCTGTTAGAATATATATATGTATCATTCCTATTAATACAACACTTGATTTAATCTACCATTCCTATTAGTATAACACTGCTGTAAATATATCAATCCTATTAATATAACACTCCTTTTAATGTATCGTTCCTATTAATATAACACTCCTTTTAATGTATCGTTCCTATTAATATAACACTCCTTTTAATGTATCGTTCCTATTAATATAACACTCCTTTTAATGTATCGTTCCTATTAATATAACACTCATTAATATAACACTCCTTTTAATGTATTGTTCCTATTAATATAACACTCCTTTTAATGTATCGTTCCTATTAATATAACACTCATTAATATAACACTCCTTTTAATGTATTGTTCCTATTAATATAACACTCCTTTTAATGTATCATTCCTATTAATATAACACTCCTTTTAATGTATCGTTCCTTTTAATATAACACTCCTTTTAATGTATCGTTCCTATTAATATAACGCTCCTTTTAATGTATCGTTCCTTTTAATATAACACTCCTTTTAATGTATCGTTCCTATTAATATAACACTCCTTTTAATGTATCGTTCCTATTAATATAACACTCCTTTAATGTATCGTTCCTATTAATATAACACTCCTTTTAATGTATCGTTCCTATTAATATAACACTCCTTTTAATGTATCGTTCCTATTAATATAACACTCCTTTTAATGTATCATTCCTATCAATATAACACTCCTTTTAATGTATCGTTCCTATTAATATAACACTCCTATTTAATGCCTTCTGTAATCCACCTATGAGAAACAACTCACCTCCTTCAGGATTCGGTCATTGAAGAATTGTTGAAGTTTCTCATTACAGTAGTTAATACAGAACTGTTCAAAGCTGTTCACCTGGAAATACTCTGCAAAATAACCATATTACAGTTATACAATTGAGGATCATTTTATGATGTTTGAGTGAAACTGTTTGATAAATGCATTCATTTTGTAGTTTCAAATGAAATGAATCAAAATAGTATGAAAAAAATCACACGAATTATACAATTAGATATCTTGATAAAATAAACTCCAAGTTCTATAAATTAGTGTTTCAGTTATTTACTCCAAGTCCTGTCACTGATCTCTGATTGTCTAGACCAGAAGATAAATTACAGAACCAATGTTAATTTTCTCCTTTACAATGAAAGCTGTATTTTAAAATAAAAACAAAGAGGTAAACATTCAAAGTTGCAAGAGTGAAAGAACATAACAGTTCTTAGAGGGCGAAATTGCCCTGCATCACTGGTACACACGAGAGGTTCCCACACAGGGATCTGGACAAGCCTTACCAAAACCAGCAATGTCCAGCAGACCGATGAAGCTAACAGAGGAAGTGAAAGGGATGGACTTGTTGATGCTGGCCACAATGAAGTCAAACAGGCGTGAATAGATAGACTTGGCTAAGGCATCTCTGGCATTAGAGGCCTCTCCTACCTTCAGAGGGACCCTATAGAAAATAAACACATACATTTGTAATGATTACACAAGGTTTACAATGACAATACCAACACCTTCATAGGGACCCAGTAAGACAGACATATACACAAATTGTACTTATTATGGTAGCAGTACACAGTTTCTCGGTGTGGCCATGGGTGATTTTTTTGCTCATTAGATTACCCCATTATAAAGGTTTTAATTAAAAATGAAAAAAAAAATCATTGCTAAAATTGGTCCTGTCATGTTAAAGTGGACAATGTCGGGTTTCATTTTTTTCATGATAATATTTTAGCTTTTTGTTGGAGATTACTATTTGGGCAGTCTCGAATCTGTGTCTACGCACCAAAAACTAGCTTTACAGGAAGTGAAATTTTCATAGTGTTCACATGTGGTCATGTCATGAAGAATTTCCGAGTTGGAATTTGCTGAAATGTAAGTACTTTGTTACCATGACAGTGTTGTTGATTGTAAGATAGGTGTTTAGAATTAGATTTCTCCTAGAAAGTTGTAGTGTTGGGTTGGAATTAGCAGTATTTTTGCATTTTTAGCATTTTTTCAGTAGGTAACCATGACAATCAAATGTCAGAAATCAGAGGAAATTTTTTTTTACACAAATTTCATCTCTCTACTGTTAATGTAATTGTTATATAGTTTATAAATATATATACATGTAATGATGTCTTTTTCATAACCAATCTGCTATACCTGTATATCTCAAACATGACAAATAAATTCAGGAAAAATGCAAATTAAGTGTTTACTGCTACCTATACTTGACAGGAATGGATCAATTTCATGATAAATGAAAAAGAACACCTTTGTTTTATCTCAGTTCTTTAATATTAAATTTTGGATAGTGTGTTTTGATCTGAAAAGTTCAATTCATTGTGCACTATGAGATGAACTATTTTAGTTGCAAGTACTATTCAGTTGACATACCTTTGACATTACCAGCAGCTTACTTGAGAACGGTTCCCATTGATTAGACATGAGACATTCATGGTATTTGTATAAGGCTTCATTTCACCTGTTATTCATGTGAATTATTTGATGGTGCCATTTCACTTGACATAAGACTTACATGATAAAAGTGGCCTTCAACCTGACATTAGACTTACATAACAGTGCCCTTTGACTTGGTATATAACTTACATGATGACAGTGCCCTTTGGCTTGGCATATGTCTTACATGATGACAGTGCCCTTTGGCTTGGCATATGTCTTACATGATGACAGTGCCCTTTGACCTGGTATATAACTTACATGATGACAGTGCCATTTGACCTGGTATATAACTTACTTGATGACAGTGCCCTTTGACCTGGTATATAACTTACATGATGACAGTGCCATTTGACCTGGTTTATGATTTACATGATGACAGTGCCCTTTGACCTGGTATATAACTTACATGATGACAGTGCCCTTTGAGATGACATTCATGTGACTTACTTGATGATGGTGCCCTTTGACCCTCCTTTAGCAGCCTGCATGACACGGCTCATAAGAGCTTCCCGTAGCTCTTCCTTGTCTAGAGCTAGCAGTGAAGCAGCAGCATCTAGTGCAGCCTCAGCTCCAGCCACCACTTTACAACCACCTGTCAATCAAATATATCACAACTAAAATAATCTTCAGATATCATTTAATTGATGACACATGAAACGCTGTACAAAAACCTATCATGTTTATATTTCTTTATTATATTTGAAGACCATTTCAGTTTCTTCATCACTTTATGAACATTTCAGTCTCCTCATTCTTTATCATATCTAATGAACATTTCTATTTATGTAAAGAGAACAAGTTGCTGTCTCCAGCACGAATGAAGCCAAATTCATGTTCTGATATCAATGAACATCAATACTATACATGTACATCAGTGTAGCCTGTATATGGTTAAGTGATAACATATGATCCTACAATCATTTCTTCCTCGAGTCTGTCTACCTTTTGTATCTTCATGGTTTTCCTCAAATGCAACATTTCCTAGATGTAGTACTCCAGCGACCAGGTTGTACACAGATAAGCGATCTGTGTCTGAGAAGCCCAGGTGTTTCATGGCATCATCGCAAATCTTAAAGTTCTGTACATCATCAATGACTGGGTCAGAGAGGCTGCCATCCTTTAAGTACTGCAAAACCCACATAGTTCAAGGTATAGTCTATATATTACCTGTAACCCATCTATATAATAAGAACTACCTGGACAATAACCTTTGTAAGAGATAAGTATGATGTATAATAAAATATAACAATGATTCCCATGTAAAATTGTCAGTACAGTACTTTGACAAATATTCTACAGCTTACCCCTTATAAAGACTACTAGTACTGTAGCCACTAAATAAAATAGCCCATAAGTATTACAGCCCAATTCAAACACAAGATTTCTGCTAACTAACCAAAGCATTTGTCAAATACTCCAACTTTATGATATTGATAATGTAGCTGTAAAACTGTACATTACTCCATCTATACCATAATTTAACTTGTGATATAAACCATTTGTAAGTAAGCACATCAGTTTATAGATAAGCAAGATTAATGACTAAAATAATAATCTACTCATTGTAAAATCAAGATATGAAAAAGTTAAAGCACTTGTACAATTATCTAAAAATCAAACCTTGTCTAGTTAAAATCCCTTATACATATAAAAGGTAACACACTTTTTCAATAACCCATCTAGATGTGTACCCACTGTCAGGTAAAGCATCTGTACAATAAACAACCTAAAAGTGAACCCATTGTAGGGAAACCCATCTGTACAATAACCCACCAGAAGTGAACCCACTTTAGGGAAACCAATCTGTACAATAACCCATCTAGAAGTGAACCCACTCTAGGGAAACCCATCTGTACAATAACCGACCTATATGTGTACCCACTGTAGGGAAACCCATCTGTACAATAATCCACCTAGATGTGGAACCACTATAGGGTAACCCATTTGTACAGTAATCCTATTGAGAACTCACCTGTTTACTCTTTCTGCCTTGTGACATTGCTTTGTCAGACTGGCGACCACAGAAATACTGTGTACATCCACGATTCAAGTACTACACATAGGGAGAAAGAGCACACAACATTTACATATCTGGTCATGCAACAGCAAACCGGGCAAAATGTACACAGGATGAGGCAAAGGTTTCCATCATAAAGTAAGGTGTCTACCATTTATTCTATTGCATTTACAATACAAATAAAAATTTATTTCATCCATTAAAAACATTTATCATTGGACTTGAGATTTCTTGAAATTTGAAACCATTTCTCTTGTTAAAAATATGCTCATTGTGATAACCATATTAAAATACAATACAATTGCAATGTATTGGGAACCACTTCACACATAACATACACACGATTGGAATAACACACACAATATCACAGGATTCACCAACATTAGCAGTACATTTTACATCTGTATAATTTCATTTAATATTACTCATCAATTTTGCCAGAATAAATGATGTTGAATTTACTAAATTGCAACACATAAGCAAGAACAAAGTCACAAGTTCTTTACAGCATGGATACGTCCAGACCACAACTCAATGTTAGGCTTACATGGAATTGGTCTGGAGGAGCCAGGCGAAGTTTCTTGTGCAGGTCATCAGGGGCACCAGCACATAGTCGATAGAAGATATGGTAGTTCCTCTCATTGGAGCTCTGGACACAAATCCTGGACTTTTCCAATAGGTAATGGGAAATAAATCCTCCAGCCAGTGTCATCTACAACATTGGATGATATAACTGATGTCATCTACAACAATGGATGATATAACTGATGTCATCTACAACATTGGATGATATAACTGATGTCATCTACAACAATGGATGATATAACTGATGTCATCTACAACATTGGATGATATAACTGATGTCATCTACAACAATGGATGATATAACTGATGTCATCTACAACATTGGATGATATAACTGATGTCATCTACAACATTTGTTGATTTAACTAAAGTCATCTACAACAATGGATGATATAACTGATGTCATCTACAACATTTGTTGATTTAACTAAAGTCATCTACAACAATGGATGATATAACTGATGTCATCTACAACATTTGTTGATTTAACTAAAGTCATCTACAACAATGGATGATATAACTGATGTCATCTACGAAAGATAAATGTCATATCTAGCATATGAACATCTCCGAGTCAAAAAGAAAAGTGACTTTATTCTAACCAAACACCGGACTGAAATATTAGATATTTTCTATTATGTTTAGTTGTCAACAGACAACCAAAGAAAAATAAGTTCAAATTCATAATTTCTTTCACCAAATTAAGCTAAAATAATGACTTGAAGGTACCAGACTAAATATATATCAGGCCACTGTGCGATAATGGACACATAAGTTTGGAGAATGAACCCTTCCCTGCATAGCCTAAACATGTGTAGTGGACACTGCAAATTATTAGATAGAAGTGATAGTTTTAATAGCACAATGAGATAAGGCCAAACAGCCTCTACTATATTATTTTTTCTATAAGTAATGATTAAGTACAAAAAATACAGTTCACCACAATTACCTGTACCCAGTTTTATGAATGTTTCTTATCATAAGAAAATTCCCCACTTTGAAAATTTCCACATGAAAGTATTACACATTTAAAGAAAATGTCCACTCTTTTACTCCTTAATGATTTCCTTCTGACAAACATAATGAAGAAAATTTCCTCAGTATAAGGAACATTCTTGAAACTGGGACTTTGATTACAAATTTATCTTTAAACAACACAGGTTACAACTGACGAAAGCTATAAATATATACAGAGACCCCAGCCAAAAGATACACAAATTAACAGATTACTGGCCACTTAGAAGCCAACACTGAGTATAAACTGGCCATCCCATATCACATTCTCAGGTAAATGAGGAAAAAAAATATGAGCATATATCGAATTTGAAAAAAAATGTTAGGGTATTAGTAAAATCATTTGTTGAAAACAGAAAACTCCATGCATAAAACACTCAATATTAACAAACCAATAGGTGAACTCTTGATCAGTAAATTGTACAGTGAGGTCATTCTTACTTAACTTTATATCAGTAGTGTGTACAGTGAGCTTATTCTTACTGAACACTACAACAGTAGAGTGTATAGTGAGCTCATTCTTACTGCACACTACAACAGCAGAGTGTATAATGAGCTCACTCTTTCTGCACCCTACAGTAATAGGATGACAGTGACCTCTCTTACTAAAACCAAGGAGCTATGAAATATCAGTGATCTAGTTTCTTACCTATCAAGTCAGCACTTACGATGGAGTTAATGAACACTTCCTGACAGGGTGTTATACAATCATGTCAGCCATTGCCAGCGAGTCAGATGGGTATGATATGTTACTGTTATGACAGTTTTATCATTTGTTCACAGAGGGGTGTAGTATGTTATAGTTAGGCATTTAAACAATTTGTTCCCAGAGGGGTGTAGTATGTTATAGTTAGACATTTAAACAATTTGTTCCCAGAGGGGTGTAGTATGTTATAGTTAGGTATTTAAATAATTTGTTCCCAGAGGGGTGTAGTATGTTATAGTTAGACATTTAAACAATTTGTTCCCAGAGGGGTGTAGTATGTTATAGTTAGACATTTAAACAATTTGTTCCCAGAGGTGTGTAATATGTTATAGTTAGGCATTTAAACAATTTGTTCCCAGAGGGATATAACATGTTATAGTTAGACAATCATATCATATGTTTTGTGAGGGGTATAACATGTTATAGTTAGGCATTTAAACAATTTGTTCCCAGAGGGGTGTAGTATGTTATAGTTAGGCATTTAAACAATTTGTTCCCAGAGGGGTGTAGTATGTTATAGTTAGACATTTAAACAATTTGTTCCCAGAGGTGTGTAATATGTTATAGTTAGGCATTTAAACAATTTGTTCCCAGAGGGATATAACATGTTATAGTTAGACAATCATATCATATGTTTTGTGAGGGGTTAGACATTTATACCATTTGTTCCACAAGGGGTGTAACATGTTATAGTTAGACATTTGTGTTCCTAGAGGGTGATTACCAGGCAGTAGTTAGACACTTATACCATATCATATGTTATATATCCTGCAGGAAAAGTTTATAACTTGTAGTAGTTAGGCATTTAAACAATTTGTTCCCAGAGGGGTGTAGTATGTTATAGTTAGGCACTTAAACAATTTGTATCCAGAGGGATATAACATATAGTTAGACAGTTTTATCATTTGTTCCGTGAGGGGTATATCAATTTACAATTAGACAGTTATACCATTTGTTCCACAAGGGGTGTAACATGTTATAGTTAGACATTTATATCAAGTGTTCCTAGAAGGGTGTTATACAATCATATCAGATGTTACCAGGCAGTCAGAAGGGTTTAACACTTATACCAAGTGCTCCATATGTTATATATCCTGCAGGAAAAGTTTATAACTTGTAGTGGATAGGGAGCTGTTACAGCAAACTACTTGTGGTACATGTAACATGTATACAATAATGGGGAGCTCTTAATTTTCAAAAACATAGCATTCATTTGTCATGTCTTACAATGTTTTAGTGTTAGTAATAGTTCAGACACAAAGTCCATGCTTACATTGTATTATTATAGTATGAAAGAATAAAGAACTAAAATATGAGTATCTATGTGTACACAATATGTAGTCATTACATACAACGATAAACCAACTTCAAAATATTGACCTAGATTCTATATATGTAAAGAATTTACACCTGTCTTATACATATCCACTACCTGGGTGGTGGACCAATCTGAAGTTCACAACATCCAAAAAAATTTATTCTACCTAATGAGAGATTAAATCATCATTATATATAGGTACATCACACACAACACCTGCCTCAGTTCCTTATATAGGTATTCACACATACTTGGACCAAATCAGATTAAACTAAATATCTAACTTACCATAATATGGATAAGAGGATGGAGCTTTCCAGTATATCTCAACGAAACTCAATCAGATTTTGTATAAGACAGGCATATACTCTTTCTGTATTTTACCACTTCACCGACTAAAGTTCCTACATCAGGGAATATACTGATACAAGATATAGTTTAGCACCAAACTATACACCCTAGATTAGGGAATATGCTAATACAATATATAGTTTAGCACCAAACTATACACCCTAGATTAGGGAATATACTGATACAAGATATAGTTTAGCACCAAACTATACACCCTAGATTAGGGAATATGCTAATACAATATATAGTTTAGCACCAAATTATACACCCTGGATTAGGGAATATACTGATACAATATATAGTTAGCACCAAACTATACACCCTGGATTAGGGAATATACTGATACAATATATAGTTAGTTATACACCCTAGATTAGGGAATATGCTAATACAAGATATAGTTTAGCACCAAACTATACACCCTAGATTAGGGAATATACTGATACAAGATATAGTTTAGCACCAAACTATACACCCTGGATTAGGGAATATACTGATACAATATATAGTTAGTTATACACCCTGGATTAGGGAATATACTGATACAATATACAATTTAGCACCAAACTATACACCCTGGATTAGGGAATATACTGATACAATATATAGTTTAGCACCAAACTATACACCCTAGATTAGGGAATATACTGATACAAGATATAGTTTAGCACCAATCTATACACCCTAGATTAGGGAATATACTGATACAAGATATAGTTTAGCACCAAACTATACACCCTAGATTAGGGAATATGCTAATACAATATACAGTTTAGCACCAAACAATACACCCTGGATTAGGGAATATATTGATACAATATATAGTTAGCACCAAACTATACACCCTGGATTAGGGAATATATTGATACAATATATAGTTAGTTATACACCCTGGATTAGGGAATATACTGATACAATATATAGTTAGCACCAAACTATAGAACCTGGATTAGGGAATATACTGATACAAGATATTGTTTAGCACCAAACTATAGACCCTGTAGTAGGGGTTGTGCCAATATCAGATAAATTTTAGCACCTAACTATACACCCTGGATAAGGGAATATACTGACACAAGATATTGTTTAACACCAAACTATAAACCCTGGATTAGGGAAAATACTGACACAATATATAGTTTAACACCAAACTATACACCCTGGATTAGGAAATATACTGATACAAGATATAGTTTAGCACCAAACTATACACCCTGGATTAGGGTATTTTGGATATACTGGTCCCAGATATATTTTATTACAAACTAAAGACACTAGAATAAGTACATACTGATCATTGATATCACTGATTACAAAGTGTTATAATGGGTATTAGTATAACACACATCTACAGTGGCTAGCACATTACTTACCAGGTCCTGTGGAATAGACAGCAGATTTTTACAATATCATATCATTATCATTAAACACAGTGATATGTCATCAGTAAACAACAGGCAAGTGTATCTTACCATCATAATTATCACTAGAAAAATACAGAACAATTAGATTTTCAAACATACATATCTATCTCATTCTATAACACCTCAATATTCTCCTTTTCTGAAACCTTATTTGCCAGCATTGTTAACTCCCCTTGCTAGGAGTAAATCATTCATTGTGTAGACTATCTGTTGATATACATTGGATCAATGTAACACAAAAAATTGTCTCAATAAATAATCTGACAATACAAATGCTTTATTAGATATATTGAGATAGAGAAACACCCTGAATTGTTAGATAAAGATTAAATATGTAAATACACCCCTGAGTTTGGACCTTTACAGTAAAGTACAGGTTTTATCATGCTTATCTTAGCCTCGTTGTTGTGATACAAAAGGTATAGATAAGATGCTATCACACTTACCTTGCCACTGAAGTGGATCTCTATGAATTTGCCAAATCGACTACTGTTGTTGTTACGCATGGTCTTAGCATTTCCGAAAGCTTCCAGCAACGGGTTAGCTGTAAAATATAGCAGTTCACATCAGTATGTGTAACTGGATTGTCACTGTCATCATAAGTTAACACACAGATATCATCCCTAAGTCAAGTACCATATATACTTAGTCTGTACTCAGTTTCTTGACCATAGAATTCTCAAATCCTGTTTCCTGAAAACACCCCTTAAAATTTCAACTCTAGAATCCTCAGTTTTAGACAACATGGGATTATCCCTCAGCCTTACAACAGAGAATCCTTTTTTTTGCTTTACCTTGGATTCCACTAAGACAACCTTAGAATCCTCTACTCTGTGTTACCCAAGACCCCCTGTGACTTACATTCAAGAATTCTCTGTTCAATCTGCCCACTGCTCTGTCCACGCGACATTGTCAGGTACTTAAGTATATACTTGGTTGATTCCGTCTTTCCAGCACCTGACTCCCCACTTACAATTATGGACTGGCTTACTTTCGAAACCTTCATGTCTCGAAGGGCCTTGTCAGCTGTAATCATACAAATTAGAAAAAACACCTTAGTAGAATACAGTGTCGCTGTCAATCATATTTTAAAATGATCAATAAGATTTGATTAATGGTAAGGGATGGTTCTGACTGTTTCTGTGTCTACACCTAAATATACAGGCATGTTAACTTGTGTATACAAGTGTGTATATATCATACATAAAACATTTTTTGATCACATGAGCTTGTATTTGTGTGTACATGTGCATATTCCTTCAGATACAGATTTTTTCATCTCTGTACCAGTGTGTATTCCAATAGATACACTTGTTTTTTATATATGTAACCGTGTAGAGAGGTGTGTGTATATTTACCGATAGCATACACGTGAGGAGGCATGGTACCCAGTGACTTTCCTTGGTACTTTTGGATGGTTGCATTAGTGTAAAGATCTGGCACCTCATAGTATGGATTCAGGGCAATCAGGATGTTGGCAGTGTATGTCTATAACAGTGTAAACCAACATCATCAACATCAAAATTTAACACCAAAATTATCAAATTCTATCAAACATTTTTTTCCGCAATAATATCTGATGTAGGAAATACAGTTTCTGTCAATGCTTTTTTTGTCAATGGTTCAAATTATCACATGATTATGAAAAGCTTATTGTGAAATGGACAAGGTTTTTTAGTCTTATTTTCAAAGTATCCATTTTTCATGATCTCATTCCATCACAAAAATAGAGAAAAATAACCATCAGGAATACCAGGAAATTAAAGTCTCTATCAAAAGGTTAACTCTGTTCATTTTGTCCACTTGTACAATCATGATTGAAGTCACCATAAATGAATTCTGTATGAATAATTTTACATCTAAAGAGAAATGTATCTTCCTGTTGTTTTAGAAATCTCATACATCATACTCCACCACCGCGATGTTGTATGTCAGATAATTAATTAAAAACATAGATACTCACATAAATCATATTTTTCATGTAACGGATCCTGAGATTGTGGAGGAGTGTGGCCTCATTGAGGTACATAAGCCCACCTAGGAGGTAACAATTATTATTATACATATATTAACACTGAATAAACATATCACATCACTGAAGTTGTTAGAGACAGAAGAATTTAAATACACTTTGTAGATTATCTAAGATGAATGAGTTAAATACATTGTATAAGGATAAAAAGTTTAAATGAAACAGCTAGATATAAAAGATACAAGAGACTGTACGGATCAATCAGAGTCAAAGATATGAATATTGAAAGATTTTATTTAACAAGTAGGTATATATGAAGATGTATATGTATTGTATTTGCTGATTGAAGTATAAGGTTTGTTTTTATGGAAGTAAAGAGTAAGTCATAAAGGTTTAACAATGTAAACATACAGTTGTCATCAACATCCTTGTTATCGTACTCCTCAGCAGGGAAAACTCTGTCGTACACTGAGTGGATTATCTGTTTAAGATACAATAAAACTCACCAGTTACAGTTTTAATATAAAGGTATAAAAATAGCAATTTCTTAACACCTTTTTCTTCAGCTTTTATGTTCTTAGCAAATGCAGATATAATCTAAAGTTATCGTCTAAAACATTGATATCTAGATTTTCCAAGAAAACCTTTTGTAAGTGTTAGCTAATGATAAGATTACATCAGAATTTTTTATGGTGTTATCTGACATCTGGGGCCCAATAAGGGGTACATCCTACCGTTCCTGGGGCATCAAAAGGTTCTATTGAAATGTTGTCTGACCCTATGTCAGTGATTCTGCCTAGTTTGAAGCCATCGGCTGCATGTGGCACCCACACTTTCTTGCCGCCATCCATGGTGAATCACCACCTGTAATTGATAGAGATGAATATATTAATGAAACTAGAGACATCTGATGATTCCAAAAGATATATACAGTACACTAATTACCATCCATAATTAACAGGTAAGAAGAGATAACAGCCAGGCATATATTGAACACTGCAGATATAAATACAGTAGACTCATTAATTATCATGTATTATTACATTACCTAATACATATTGAAACAGGTGTATATTACATTACATAATACATATTGAAACAGGTGTATTATTACGGTATGTAATATATATTGCGTAATTTATACTGACATGGGTTTATCCAATGTATAACACTGTAGTTGTATGATAATTATGCTTGAATTAAAAACAGGTTTGAAAATGTCACTATGTACATATAAATAATAGAGTCAAAGCTAAGCCAGCTGATACACCAATATTTCAGACAAAAGTTGCAGTAACATTAATATCACAGCACTTACAATTACCTACTCTTCTCACCACTATTAAATTTAAATAAAATTTAATGTACATCTTACTTCTTTAGTTCTTAGAATTTTTCTGCTCTATATATCAACTGGCATGTATTAAATATTTTCTCTGAAATGAGTATAGATATAATGACAAACAGGATTTGAAAACTAGTAAGCTTTTGCTGAACTGTAAATCTGCTTCGAGAAAATTTACACGTACGGAGTCAAAAATATACAGACTATCTCATGTTGTGATGGTTGTGTCCTTGGGCAAGATATCAGATACTTTGATCTGATGGCAATGGATATGACAAGTGATGGGTCTTCCATATATTGTTCAATGAAGTAGCCATTAGCTACTACAAAATGTACAAGGTGACTCCACCTAAAAAAGGTCCTGGCTATTGACAAGGCAAATGACCTAGCAAGCTTACAAATTTACATATACACAGATGTTTTAGTGTGTTGAACCTATCTTTTCCAAGAGAATTTGGAAGGGTTCTTCAAACAAATCATCCGGTATTTTGCCAATTAAAGCAGCTACTTACAGGAACAGAATGACATTATTTTCATCCTTGAAAATTTCTGTGAATCACAAAATGCAATCAAGACATTGTAACTGACCTTATCACCCTGAGACATAAATTCATCTGTGGTATTTAACTACTTATGAGTTACAGTAGTAGTAAATAACCCGAATTCCAGTACCACTTCACACAGGAGATGAAATGCTGACACATGTAGTATGAAGACTTGTTGCTTTCCTGTAGTGTACCTCAGACTTGTAGTAGCTAGCTGTATTGATTTTAAATTTGTAGTATATTGTTTATGCGTTACAGGTAGGCTTGAGAAGCCATCTGCTCCACAATCTAGATTAAGGTTTTGTTATACAAGAAGCTACCCATGTAGATGTAAGTGCTGGCAGCTTTGTAGGTAAACCAGTATACATTTACCTGTCATCAACCATACAATGACAATGATGCAAGACAGTAATCCATCACATACTCTCTCTAACATTTACCTTTATCTTCCACCTGTATTCTGTCCACACTAATCAATGCAGGAATTAAGTGTATTACAGACATTCTGTATGCTATGTAATAGTAGATACAACTAAATATAGGTAACACCGTTGATTTGACACTATCACCATCATGTTTGTCTTCCCCAGGTTTTGGTCTACCTAACAATACCACTTCCATGTCAGTAACTAAACCTCTGATTTACAAATATTACCATACAAAAAACAGTGTGCAACTGTCTGTAACATACTATATTTATCGTTCATTAAGCAAAAGAGTCTAAAACACATTGCCTCTGACTGAAAAGTCAGAGGGAAGACTTATTACAGAGCACTGAAATGAGGCATTCATTTTTGTAGGATTTTCCCTGTTAATTCCAGAGCACCCTTTAAAAAATTTGATGAGTCCAGTTATAAAGAAATATAACAGATTCTTAAAATTTGAGCAAGATCTATTGAAAAGCAGGACTACAAAAAATCACTGATAGGGACCACTTGCTTCAGTTTCCAAGATAAAAAAATCTGATATCGTACATACATCATTTTCTACGACTTTATTCAGCAATATCTCTGAGATGATAATACCAGTAAAAACAATGGAAACATAACGTGAAAAGTAACCCTTCAGTACACTGTTAAACAAATCACATGACATGGAATACCAACAGTGAGATGACATCTAGTCATAAGAAGAGGCTTATAGAAATATGTTTTGTAAATATGTACATGAAACCAACGAAAATGCTTTTTTCCCCCCTTTCTTTGCCCTTAAGCTGTTTATTACCACTGTTGTCAATTGTGTACCAGTGACTGTACTGCTATCATAGCCTTGATATCACAACCTTAGAAATGTGTCTCCTCCCTAATGTTGTATACACAATATTATCAGGGAGCAATGACTAATCCTGCAGGTATACATGTGACTTACACAATACCATACACAAACCAATGTAACAGATGTAAAAATTTTATTTTATATTAATTATTTCGAAGTCAGAATGACTATAGCATTGTATGAGACTACAAAAAGTGTTAAATATGAGGTTAGATGACTAAAACATTAAATGCAAAATTTAAGCCAGTCATAGGCTTAAATTATTCCTCACATCATTATGTAAAATTCCAGATTGTGATTATAATTTCAAATAAATAATAGTCATAAAATTAAATTCATAATGATATCAAACAATTCTTTATTTCAGGACATCACAAATAATCTAAATCCAAAGATCTATGGCTTCTAATGGTAAACAACCATTTCCTTTCACATCACTAATGAATCTTTTTTTTATTTTGTATTTTGATTTTCTGTGGAAAAATTCAGAAACAAATGCTATGGAAAATAAACAATTAATCCATGTGAACATAAAATGTTGTAAAATGAAACCAGATAAGAAAGGTCTCCTTGGAGCCAGCAGATTGTTCCTACGTATTATATTGAATTGTATTACCTGAATTGAGCAGTAGGATTGGTAACCATGGTAACAGGTGCTACCAGGTATACCAGTCATTGAATTACCTAGCATAGCTCAGACAAGTGGGTAGTTTGAAATCATAAAACACACAGTTATAGTTTTATATCAGCAAGTGGCCAGAAAGCACGTAGACGAAAAGTGCATGATTATAATTTACCACATGTTTGTAATAATTTTACATCTGAACAGAGCTCTAAGTTATCTAAATCCGTCTAGATCCATACCAGGGAACTGTTGATCATTAATACCTTAAACACCCATTCCACGATAACATTTCTGCTACAAAGGAGTCTAATACAATGACTTACAATGTACAGTAGCAGTGGAGATGACAACACATCAGCATTTTAGGGTGGATGTAAAATCAATTTGTGAGAATGGAAAAGAAGGGTATTAGTTTAAAGAACAATTTAGTGAAGTTTGATTTCTTTTTATTTCATCATATTACAAATTTAATTTGTTGCTTTATTACTATGAATAATTAACATTGAAATATCTTTTAATAAGCCACATTAAAGCCCGACAACACAAGGAATCTTTAAGTGTATGACTAAATGTTTTGTTTGTTTATGATAATCATAATAGTAGATGTATACCAGTTTTTCGCAAGTTGAAATGAAATGGCTCTTTACAATTTGATTATTTCATTTTAAAAGTTATTATTCTAAATGAATTGCATCTTCTTCAGTAATTATGTAGGTTTTTTAGGCTTTGTTCAAACTACCTTATTTTCCAGGTTATAAGCCACACCTCAGTATTTAAAAAACCATAAAATAGCAAAAATCAAACTTGTTTGACTTGGGTGCCTTCAAAGATTGACTACGTACAGATATAGGGGCTGACGTTACGTATGCTTTACTAAAAGATCTCTCCATCTGTGTCTCTGCTGTGAAATATTAATGAAGGCCCTTGCATGCTGACCGAATTCTTTGCCCCATATTATATCTTCTTGTAAGGATATACATGTAATTGATCTTTAGAGATTAAAAGATACAATGTTAAAGAAAATCGTGAAATCTATTAAGTTGCAAGGATAGGGCACTTCATTTAGATTTTGATATTTTCTATTTGTCTTACAGGTTTCAAAATTTAAGCTGTTAGCATCAATGATGATTCCTTCAAGGATGAAACAGCTGTACAGTGCAACTTAGAAAGGTGCTATTCACTTCTGTGTCTTTTGTACAATCTTTGTCAGTGGATCAAGGGAAATTAAAATATATGAACATATTGTCAAATTTTATGATAACATTGTTAAGCCTTAGAAATTGAAGCACAAGTCAACGAATTAATTCAATTGTCACTAGTAAGTCAATGAATTGATCCTTCTGTGACCAATAAGTCAATGAATTGACTTAGGGTTCGTAGAAACACATTATCAAAGATATCAACATTTTCCTCTGTCATATCATAACCCAGCTGCCAAAGTGAAGAAAAATTATGATGAAGTTTCAGTATACCGATATAAACACATGCCTTAAACTTACTTATACAACAAACTACAATTGTGGACATGCATTTTAATTCAACACTTATGTATATATGACCCTATGCAAATCAACTTCAAAATGTTGACAGAATTAAACTTGATTTTCAGCTTATCTGATTCTTCTCTAGTTTATCAACGATCCTTTCAATAAGAAGGACTTGGTATAAAACTTGTACCCTCAGTGGCAGACAAGTCTTTAAAACACTGTGTAAACCTCAAACGGGTCAGTAAAGCTCAGATGATAATTGTTTTCACATATTGATCCAAGTGTGTGGCTAGCAAAGAGCCACTGTAAGGGCTTGTATAAAAAAATTAGAGTCTAGTTCTTTTTATCACCAAGTAGCACTGTGTACTGAGTGGGACTTAAGTAAACACTGTACCTGTGACCTATATATAGATACATGATCGGTCTATGACCAGATAGCAATACAGAATTTCCACCTTTCTCAGAGCTTTTGCCCTTCGTTTTTTCTACAGTACAAACTTGGTATATTATATAATACTATCCGGGTATTTAGGCACAGTACACATGTGTCTGTGCATGTTATCATTAATACAACTGTATTGTTTGATCGTTTTGTTCGTGCAATTAATATATACGAACATAACAATTGACCGAAAACACGTGCATGTACTTTGGTTTTTGCAGTGATGGGAAAGCCCTGTAATGTGAAGGTTTCTAGCTTTCGGTCAGTGATGCTATGTTATCTGATCGAGAGATCAAAGCCGTGGACAGGTGTTACACTTGGTTGATCAGTCAGCTGATTTGTATCAATATCTCGCTATCGATTGTTACCTGTACAGGTACGCCCTACCGGGCTTCACATACGACTGTCAAACACATTCGGCAAACCTTAACCTGTGTAAGGCTAATTATCGCTGTGTGTTACACACATATCAGACATTGGTATCAGAGTCGAGTACCTCCCAGAAATACAGGTATTCATGTGATAATAAACACTCACCTGCGCCACCGACACCTGTTAAAAGTATGTTTTCTAATAGAACTACAACACTTTATACACCAAAGATATACGTACGGTTTTGTTTCGACGTGATCTTGTTCTTATGTAGCGTTTACAATTTGTTACAAAGGTCTATTTCCACTTCTATACTTCCGTGCTGACTTGCAACCGGTGAGTTGACCTGCTAAAAATAGGAGTACGTTGCGCAAGAATATGTCTCCCAGAATTTACACCTGGGGAAATAGTTCTTATTTTATATTCATGTGATGCGTTTACAGAAATTCATCCATACTACGATTTCCCCCTAAAAATAAACAATAAAACAATTTGAAACCGAAAGTATTAAATAAGTGAATAATAACGACTTTTGATCAGGTGAAAAGGGTAAAGCGCCGGATTTTCCTCCGCCGTAGTAAACTTTCAATTTATCTCCCTTTCTAATGAAAGAAAACCTGTTTGCCAGCCAGTTAGACTTTGTTCGTTTTCGATTAATTGACAGCAAGACAACAATCATAATTGCTCGAGATATAATTAAGGCTAACATGAAATGGGGAATTAAATACCAATTAAGGAAAAATATTTTCGAAATGTGACGATAGTTGTAATCGATTTTCGTCAGTTTGTAATTAAAAAAAAAACAAAAACAAAACCTTGGTATCATTAATTCTTCATATGTATTTGTGCTTCATTTTCGTAGCATTTTGTGTTGTGTTCATTTTGGGACTAATATTATTTGCCAATTAAAATGACTTGAGGGGCGACCATCATAGAATTTAACAGTTATGCGGTATTGAATTATCGTTATTTCTTGAAAAAGACCGGATATTTCACAAATTCTGTATCAATGTTTCCCTTCTTAGGTAAGACTTCCTTTTGCACCCTAAAATGATTTTTTTTCTTCTAATTGTGCTTAGTCACTTTGGACATGACCAGAAAACGAAAGTGGCCCGCATATGCAATGATCTTTAACTTTTGCGATTTAACTTTCTTTTGCAATTTCTTGAAATGTAACACAATTATTTCCAAATTTCATATGTAGGTTCCCTACTGATTTATAGTTATACATTTTCCTTCCTGGGACTGTCGGATTGTGCAATCTAAACAGACTACGGGGGCCATTTTGGATTCTGACGGCTTTGTATACATATATTGTCTTAACTGTTACAAGTAAGTTACGATCTTAAAAAGAATCACATGTAAGTTGCCCATTGTCTCTTGTGTTTTGACAGTTTTGGGGCTGATCAAATAATAAAGATGTCTGACATGCAGCCATCTTGGATTTTGAATATTTATATTTACATATCTTGTGAAGTATGCAGGTTCCTTGGTCCATACTAGTGCATTGTTCCATTTTAGGATTGATGAGGAAAACAAAATGGCTGAAAGGAGTTTTTTTTTTTTTTTTAGAAATTATGGATGGATTGTTCTCAAATTTCATATGAGATTACCATTTGTCCCTTATTTGGCATACATAATTGTTTTCAGTTTGGTGATAAACGAGAAAAGAAACAAAATATAAGCCAGTAGGCAGCTATCTCTGATTTTGACATTACTTTCTCAGAGTGCAACAGAATTCTTGGATTTCATTACGGTAGGTTTCCTTTGGTTTTAGGGAGTGTTCAAACAAAATGGCTGACAGGAGGCCATCATAGATTTTGACAAATCAAGTGTATTATCATTATGTCTCAGAAAGAAACCATTTTCAAATGTCTTTGATTGGTCTCAATTTACCTGTCAATACAACTAATAATAAAGAGGAAATAACAGAAATAAGAGACGAAGGAGGGAAATGATCCAACTGATTTTGCATCAATGAAAATTGTATAATGGTGATTCAAAGATTCCTCTAGGATCTCTTATAAGCTTTTATCTTATTACCATAGATAATACAGTATCAGCAAGGTAACATTTTCTTTGGGTACACATTTAACAACAATTTCTCTTAAATACTGCTTGCTATATACAGGTTAATTATAGTAATCCGGTCAATTGCTTACAATACGAAAACTCAAGTTAAATCTACTTTCAAGTTCAGCTATACTTATGTTCAACGGATTAAATGACTCATAAGTTATGAGGACATCACTGAGGAACTGAGAAAAAAAGTTATCGTTATTTAGACAAACAAGAAGCATATTAATATTGATCTTTAACTGAATTACATTCACCTACGTTCAACGTCACATAGATCAAATAATGTGATCAATATGACTAAGCTAGGGCATTAACCAGCTTTGTCCAAATAAATGAGCTTGTTGTTTTTTCAAGGTCAAGAAGTCATATCACATGAACTTTTGAAAAAGCAAGACAATTTGATAACAATTGATATTTCTTGTGAGAAGTGCTGTCAGTAAATCATTTTAAATGTCATAGGTGAACATCACTGAACATGTAGTATACAAAATATCACATAAACTCCTACTAGAACCTGAACATTTAGGATACAAAATATCACATAAACTCCTACTAGAACCTGAACATTTAGGATATAAAATATCACATAAACTCCTACCAGAACCTTAACATTTAGGATACAAAATATCACATAAACTCCTACTAGAACCTTAACATTTAGGATACAAAATATCACATAAACCTACTAGAACCTTAACATTTAGGATACAAAATATCACATAAACTCCTACTAGAACCTTAACATTTAGGATACAAAATATCACAAACTCCTACTAGAACCTTAACATTTAGGATATAAAATATCTGAACATTTAAACAAAATATCACATAAACTAGAACCTTAACATTTAGGATACAAAATATCACATAAACTCCTACTAGAACCTGAACATTTAGGATACAAAATATCACATAAACCTACTAGAACCTTAACATTTAGGATACAAAATATCACATAAACTCCTACTAGAACCTTAACATTTAGGATACAAAATATCACATAAACTCCTACTAGAACCTTAACATTTAGGATATAAAATATCACATAAACTCCTACTAGAACCTTAACATTTAGGAAACAAAATATCACATAAACTCCTACTAGAACCTGAACATTTAGGATACAAAATATCACATAAACTCCTACTAGAACCTTAACATTTAGGATATAAAATATCACATAAACTCCTACTAGAACCTTAACATTTAGGATACAAAATATCACATAAACTCCTACTAGAACCTGAACATTTAGGATACAAAATATCACAAACCTACTAGAACCTTAACATTTAGGATACAAAATATCACACAAACTCCTACTAGAACCTGAACATTTAGGATACAAAATATCACATAAACACCTACTAGAACCTGAACATTTAGGATACAAAATATCACATAAACTCCTACTAGAACCTGAACATTTAGGATACAAAATATCACATAAACTCCTACTAGAACCTGAACATTTAGGATACAAAATATCACATAAACACCCACTAGAACCTGAATATGTTTGGAAGACAATTATCCATGTATTCCTACTGGAATCCTAATATATAGGGTACAGATCCAACAATCCATGTACATCTACTAGAACCTGAACATGTTTGGTACAGTATCATGTGTACATGATTTCCATATTTAAGTATCATGAGAAGTTAGAATATCCATTTACACATACAATGTATTGATAAATAAGCATAAAGACTTTATACGAAAGAATGTATATTTTATTATAACAACTAGGACTACAACAACAACTTTAGTTCATTGACATTCTTGTCAACATAACACAATAACAGGTATAGATTGTGTGTCTGGTAAGGAAATTTTACCATTATGAAATTGCTCCCAAAATGTCTCAAAAGAGATTAAACAAAAATAGTTATATGTGTACAGATAAGGGTTTAGCATTATCAGAAAGCAGACCAAAGATAATTTTTAGTGAAATGGTAAGTTTCCATAAAGATTGAGATTAGTTTTGAAATGATTTGGCTCCTATGTGTAAGTCCTAAAAAGACGAACCAAATTGAGCCCTTCTCCACTAATGCACTGAAACTCTATCTTATTTATAATTCTAATTCTGATAAAAAAATTTCATATGAATGTCTATGATTAATCAATGCCATCCAATCAAATTCAAAAACTGAGCACTACAGGAATTCCTTAACAACAATTGGCTTATATAGCTAATTGATCCTTCCTTTAAATTCAGTATAGAGTAGTACATTGGAGTAAAAACAAGTATAAGCTTAGATTGGACAAATCATTGAATTAAACAATTTTATAATGGTCCTTCTTGAACCCAGCCTCTATATCCAAAATATGATTTCTTTTTTTTTCAGTTCAAATATAAATAATCCATATTTACTGTACTGGGTGACCAATAAAACAGACCAATTAAAAAATGTGGAGTCCCCTTGGTTCAGGGATGCTGAAACTTACTATAATCCCACCAACTGTGTAGAAGGATTAAGAAGTTAAAGAGATTAACCTTTTGATCCCTAACAGATATTCTGTAATCATTACCATGTCCTTAAATATTATTTCTGACCCTCAACATAAGCTGATGATCACAACACAGTGCCATCAGTTAGTTTTGAGAAGACCAAAATAGGACATTTCAACAAGCAGAACACAATGAGAGAAAAAAGACAATCACAACTGTTTAATTACCTGATTGACTTGAGTGACATTCAAAAAATAGAATAATGATAATAATAAATGAATTATATCTATGGTTACAAAATACTACAAAAACCATCATCACTCTTAAGAAGGACATTTATACACGTTTTGTAAAAGATTTCAATGTAAATTACACAAAAGTTGTATTATCACAGATAATTTCGTTGATCACAGAGTAAATCTAATATTGCTATAAATACCAAAATTCCTTCAACTTTCTTAAATAAATCACAGATTTATGAACATGGTATTGATTGTACTGATGCTCTAAAAATTTCATTCACTGAAACAAAGGAATTCAATGGTTTGCTACACAATATATCAAGAGAGAAACTGGCAGATATATCAAGTACAAATGCTTTAACATGAAGGTACAGTCAGAGCCCTATATGAACATATGGGTCTGTGATCAAGGGGATTCTGAATATCATAATATATGATAATAGTGACATATGGGTGTATATATATATATGTATACATATATATACAACAACTAGAGGCATTGAAATGTTTGCAGTTCTAACATACTATTACAAAAACAGAAAAAAAAATCCTAGATGAATCTTGGCACCCACCAATTGAATGATCATAAGTGGTTTTTAGTAAGACTGGTCTTTTCTCAACTTTTCCCTGTTTTCTCCTTTTCCTTTTAATCATTTGATAACAAGGGAATCCTACATCTATGAAATCTATGAAAGATTGAACTAGGATTTAAAGAGAAATAGCAATAACAAATTTTGAGTGTCAAAATCCAAACTGGTCTCCAGTCAGTCATTATGGTTTCTTAAGTTGAGAACAAATTGAATGGACACAACTTGGGACCAAGAGGAACAAACAGATCAAATTTGAGAAAAATCTTTCCAGTATTACAGAAGAAAAAGCAAAAAAAATCTTCAAGTCAAAATTCAAGATGGCCACCTATCAGCCATTATGTTTCACTAATCGGACTCGGACCTGAATGAGCACAATGAGGGACCTTGACTTTAAATTTGAGAAATATCCTTGCTTTACTTCTAAAGAAATAGCCATAACAAACTTAAAAAAATAAAAATCCAATGTGGTCAACAGTCGCTCATTACTGGTATGTTTTCTTGAAAGTGCACAAAATAAATGGGCGTAACATGGGACAACATTTTTTTTCCAACAGTCAAATCTACATATTAAGTTTGAAAATATACCTCCAGTACTTCTCAAGAAAAGGCGACAACAAGAATTGCTTGTGGATGGACCTAGGACAATGTGTGATTTAAACAGCCTACTGTCTAATGATGGTGGGCTAAAAATTCAGCACTGGAGAAATGCACTCATATCATATAACATAATCAAACAATGCCATAAATCATTAACAAAGACCAAAACATAACAACCATATAACATTACTTAACTTTTAACACATTCTATCAATTTCCAGACAAAAATTGGTCATCTGTCATAAGTCATTTTGAAAAGTACCATGAACAGTCTAAGACAGCAGTGCTATAATATCTAAATGACTACTGACATTGTCTGTACTCAAGATTATCTGTTTACATGGTTACAGTACCTGTGTGTCTCAGACTGTCTTCATGTAAAAGTATTAATTTTAATATTAATCAGACTGTTTCATGGTAACAGAATCCATGTGACAGGTGGTCCAAAAGTCTCCATGATTATTGTCAGTGTTTCAGATTACTTCCTAGTAACATTATGTACCTGTTTAAATGTAGCTGTTTCCCTAGCTTCATATGTGCTTTAGATTTCTTGCAGTATCCATGCATCTTCAGTATAATTTTCTGTGTTTCACCGTGTTCCATCTGTCAACAACAATCAAATCAAATGAACCAGTGTAAACCTGAGCTGATAAATCTTCACTCTGATCTTTCTTTTAACCAGCTTATGAGTCCTCATTTGGAATTTTGCTTGTGAATGATTGTGCAGATCTTCATTAGGACCTGTCAGTGTTCCAGTTTGTAGGTTTCACAGGGATCTGTCAATATTCCAGTCATTGAATCTCCAGTGAGACTTGTCTGAGAACCAGGTTGAAACTTGTCACTAGGGCCTGCCTCTGCATTCGAAGGTGAATCATCTGGATCTGTCCGAAAACCATCTTGCAACTCATCATGAGGACTTGCCTTTGAATTAAGATGTGGACCTTTATCTGGATTTTTCTGAAAACCAGATTGTGAATTATTGCAAAGTCCTGCCTCTGAATTAGGATGTGGATCATTATTTGTCTGAAAATCATCTGGTGACTTGTCACATGGACTCACCTCTGAATTAAGAATTGGATCTTTATCTGGTTGTGTCTCAGAACCAAGCTGTGGCTCATCACTTGGTTCTGTCTTCAAATTAAGATTTGCATCATCTGGATTTGTCTGAGAACAAGCTTGAGATTTGTCACTTAGCACTGCCTTTGACCCAGGGTAAGGCTTTTTATCTAGATTTGCCTGTGAATCATTACCAGAGGTTTCACAAGAACCATATGGTGGATTTACTAAGGAGTCTCCACCAATACCTGCACACAGAACTTCCCCCACTTGTAAGTCTCCCAGTGATCCTATATCCTCATCATCTGATGTTAGATCCACTACAGCCTGTGTATCTACTCGCAGGATTTTCTGTCCTTGTTGATTATCTTGTGGGATAGTTTTTGGATCAGTAAATGATACAGACGATTCTTCAATGGAAGTCAGGTCTACAATTTGGGATTTCCAGTCATCGTCCACTACCATGGTCTCTTCAACAGCATCAGTATCCACGTCTATCACATCACAGCTAGGAACATCTCCAGGGTTTGTTATAGTTATGTTGATTGGTTCACAACTGTCCTCATCAATTATAACAGGTTCATTGGTTGGTCGATCTTCACTACTGTTTTGCTGACTATATGGTTCATAGTACATGACTTCTGATTTGGTGAATTCCTCCTCTGAGCTCAGCACACATTCCTGCTCTGATGGCGAGTCTTCAATCACACACACTTCTGATGTATCATCATCCTGGGCAGTTATTTCCATTGGTGTGGTGTCATTCTGGGCAGTTACTTCCCTTGATGTGGTGTCATTCTGGGCAGTTACTCCCCTTGATGTGGTGTCATTCTGGGCAGTTACTCCCCTTGATGTGGTGTCATTCTGGACAGTTACTCCCCTTGATATGTTATTATTCTGGACAGTTACTCCCCTTGATACTTTATTATTCTGGATAGTTACTCCCCTTGATACGTTATTATTCTGGACAGTTACTCCCCTTGATATGTTATTATTCTGGACAGTTACTCCCCTTGATACGTTATTATTCTGGACAGTTACTCCCCTTGCTATTTCCTCCTCATGAGAAGTTGCTTCCACTGTTATGTCATCAATCTGAATCTGTTCTCTGTTCCCTTGAACATTTGTCGTACCTGTGTCTTCCACAGACTGACTTGCAACTTCAACTGTTCCAATCTCATCTTCTTCTGGCAATTCCTGGCTTTCTCCATTGTCAGTCAAGTGACCTTGTCCTCTGTCCACCTCATCCTCATGTAAGAGTGATGTTAAATGTCCAACGGTCAGAATATTCTCCTCGGTATTATGACTTGACGGCACATCTTCAATTGTTTTGATCATTGAGTATATCTTTTCCTCAATAGTTCCACGGATTAAAAATCGATGGACTTCAGTTTTTCTAGGAAATATAAAACAAAACCGTATTAAACATGAAATAATTTAATTCACAAGCTTCTAAGCAAATTGGTGCTATTAAGACAAATAAATAATTAAAACAAATTTGGATTTTGAATAGAATGCTGAGAAGATTATTTATACATCTAAATACCATGTTTGCTTTGTAATAGCATGATAAGAATTTTCCAGTGCTTTCCTGGTCCTATAGTACTGAAACCAACATACATGTTAAGACACTCAAGACAGAAATATGTTGCATTTCAGCAATTTTAAATACATGGACACACTGTACCATTTTCAACACCCCAAGGACTTTGTAACTTCATTTCTATGTATATTTTTACATTCAACTTTTTCCGAATAGTTTCAATGTTATTCAAAATGCTCTGTCCGAGCACTGTTGTATTCATGAAAAGAGTCAAAACCAAATGAAGTGTATATTTACATTTTTTATTCACACCATCATTCATTGGAAGTTATATGCACTGAAGAAACAGCCTGATTTTGGAATATCAAAATAGCTGATGCAGGGTTGGTGGGAAAGGTTGTCAGACTTAATGTTAAGAAAGTGTTTGTAGGGCCAAACAGAGAATACATGCCGAACATGAAAATATCAAAACTGGATCCAAAAGTTGCTATGGAATGGAATTAACCCTCGTTAAGCCTGGTCAGATATCGAATTGACCTTGACCCATGACATTTACCTTGTCTGACCTATGCGATGGACTCGCCCGATGGCCTGTAGTTCCTGTGCAGGGTTAAGGATTGGTTCAACCAGGAGGACATAGGTGGCCTCTATAAGGTTAAGTCCATTGGAACCCGACTGAATAGGGAGAAGAAGGGCCATCACATCTTTTTCTTCCCGGAATGATGTCAGCTGGTTCTGTGTTAACAAAGTAATATTTAACTACCAACAGCAGTAATGTACCTAAGAGAGAAAACTAAGAGGAAGTTAGGACTTATTGTAAAAATTGACAAGGTTAACATGCAGGAGTTAATCAGTTACTAGAAGTGTCTGTAACCTTTAGCCTTAATCAACTTCTCTTTTACATGAGTTATTGCTTGACAAAGTTATCAAGCTCTAAACATGGCTTATCTTACAGTACTGACATGACACCTTAATATAAAAATGTGTCACCACTTTCAAGGTTTAACAAAACAAAATCTTTCCTCTGCATAATATATAAGAAGAAAATGACATTGATGTCTCTGTATCCCACAGGTATAAGTTTCAATATCTGACAAATTGATTTCTATGAATTGTAACAGTGATCTTGACCATGAAACCCACATACACAAACACATCCAAGATTTACTCAGAATTGACCCTTGCATACAGTTCAATTAGAATCTCTACACATGACTCAACATGATAGAATGTGACGTAGTGACAAATTCAGGCGAAAATATATGTCCTTCCCCAACCCCATCCCAACCCAAAGTAATTGGATTGTGTTGAAAAAGTGAAAACACTGTACCTCTCTTGTTATGAGGACAGAAGATAATTACCTGGAATTTCCCTGTGTATAGAGTGCGGTGTGTGATATTGTTCTCGTCCAATGCCTCAGCTATGATTCCAAGAACGCTCTTCCACTGCAGCAAACAAAACCTCACCATTAACAAACTACTTCGATTTCAATTGCATAATATGGTAATTGAATTGTATCAATCTGTCATTAATCATAGCAGGAGGATTACAGTGTCCGTCAGTGGTAAGAGAGGTTGCCTAACACTGAAATGGTTCAGCAATACAAGTTATTTGTAACAGGCTTACATCAATACCTTATATATTGAATGGGGTCATTAGCACTACATGTACTGGTAAGATATGACTTACACTGGGCAGTACCTGGACCTTGTCTGTAGGGTCATTAATACAGACAGGGCATTACTTATACAAAAGAACACCAGGATATGTCTGTAGGGTTATCAATACTGACAAGGTATTACTTACACTGGAGAACACCAGGACCTTGGCTGCAGGGTCATTCTTTTGTATACCCAGCATACATCGCACAACAGCCTCTATCTTGATGGAGTAACTTCCCTGAAATTAACAGAAAATATAGTTTAAGTATTGACACAAATAAAGAAAACAAATTGCTTTGAGGAAAGGTTGCAGGAAATGATACATAGTGACTGGAATCAGGTAGGAATATGTTGAAGTTCTGACAAATGAATAAAGATATCATGCTATAGTTTTAATACATGTACAAAAAGGCTTGTTAGTTTGCTGGGTCTGTCATCCCATGAACAGCCAGGATAATTTTGAGGTGTTGTCTTATTATATAATCTGGTGGCTACCTCACTGAACAACATGCTGGAGGCACAGCAATTAAATAACAGTACAGGACGATCAGTGATCTCAATTTTGTGAGATACATACACACACACTGCCATAGGTACAGAGCAAGACACATCAAATCTTCACCTGGTCTACTGGTCGAGTTAACACGACCTCGAAATAAGGAGTTTTACAGTTCTCACCTTAACTCTGACACCTTCTAAGCCGTCATTAACAGGTGTAACCTTGGTGCTGACATATGAGATGTCACTGATGAAGTTGAGCTGCCGACATACAGCACATTTGAGGCGGCGGTTGTTGGTACCGAAGCTGTACTGGATGACCATGACACGGATACACTCTATACAGTAGCAATGACCACACTGGACCACACTCCACTGGGAACATAAAAACATGTATTATCATCTCATGAAAATATTTCAAAACTGCACATCATGGATAACATAGAAAAGAGAATTGCGAACAAAAAAACTTTTATAACTAAGAATTTTCAGTAATACTTGATGTATAGAATAATGTCTTAAACATCAAATATTTTCTTATTTTTTGAAATGATCATCAATATGACAAAATAAAGTTTGTGAGTAAGCCAGATTTGTTTTATTCAAACATTAACCTTATTAACTTATTCCATACTTTATGGTTGTTAACATTCTGAGGAAGCTTAAGTGTTTTATGGTAAAAATGACTTTAGATACAGTGCTAGATGACTTACCTCTACACCGAGTTCACGTTGACAGATGGGACAAGGCTCAGGGTTTACTCCACCCTCATTGTCAACCTGATTCTGAGATACAAACATGCTTATTTAAACATCGTATGTCATAAAAGATGTATTGACACATATTTCAACATCTAATGAAACCTATATAGATATTTAAAAAAAGATATCTCACAAGGAACTTGTTGCCAAATATTCTTTGGTCTTAATTTTTTAAGTTAAAGTTCTTCTCTTTCCTTCTTCCATTCTTCCTCTTAATTATATGAAATCAGAAATTTTTTCTTGGCGATAGCGATGATAATCTTGAATTGTCAAAACCTCAGATGGTTGCCTATGAGCAATTTGTTTCTCTGATCAGTCCCAAAATCAAAAGGGCACAACTAGTGGCCAGAGGGAACCTACATATAAACTTGGAGAAAGATCAATTGGCTACATCTCAAGAAATTGCTATTGCAAATTTTCAATGCTGAAATCCAAGATAGCTGTCAATCATTTTCTTAATTTCATCTGTCTTATAATCACAAAGATTACTACTAGCAGGCTGCAGAAAACATCATAAACTTTGGTTTTGTTTTAAAATATAAAAGATATATGCTTGATAAAAAAAGGTAACTTTTTACTTTTGACAAGTTCTTCAGGTAGAACAGCTGACCAATTTTCTTGCGCAGCTCATTCTTCGCAACAATTTTTTCTGTGCGTAGTTTTATCTTCTGCTGTTCAAGCTGTAAAAAATAGAATTTAGAATAACAGTACTGCTGTACATTGTGAATGCAATAATTGCTTCAAATACACTCACACCATGAGAGCCTCACAGAACAATACATGAAATCTCAGGCAATGTAGCATAGATCTATCTTGTAAGATATACTCTAAATGGAAATCATTTATACACTATTTCAGTAAAATAAAATTATTTCCAAAACATGGCTAACATGTAGTACATACCGTACTTCATATTGATAGATTTACCGGAGGCATGTAAAATTTTGAATTGTATGGATATTGCCATTCTTTCGCCAATAATAACATTTTAAACCATCACACAAATTTCAGTTTCCTGCCATGAAAACTATGTCTATTGTTCATTGACTAAATTTACCAAAATCTAGTCAGATTACATCGATTGTTTCATTGTAGCTATGGATAAATCAGAAAGTCGATAATTATTTGCATACTTCTGCTGAGCTTCAAATTTAAACTCTGGCATTATATCTATCAACACAGTTTCTTCAGAATCTGGTCATATCTGGAGTCATAATGCAGAAAGCATAAACACATATTAGTTATGGCCATACATGTACTTCATCAACTGTTAACTCAGTTTATTTTATATCATACGGTGACTAATGATTGACAAGTTTATCAAGTGATACTTCAGTTGTCTTGAGAAGAAGAAAGTGCTGATGGATGAATATTCTTACAAATGAATCGTTATGTTTTGGAAACAGTTGTTTTAACATCTAAATGGCAATAGAAACATGAAAATAAAGAGATAATTTCAAGTTTAGAGAAGAAATCTCTCTTCCAGTACAATGCATAATAACAGGTAGATAGGTTTGCTGACCTCTGCAGGTTCTAAGACATGGAGCTGTGTGGCAGTGGGAACATCTTCGTCAGGAAGTCGCAGCCTCAATCTGGTGGTGGCCATGTCCAGTTCATCCAGAGCCTGGAACTGCTCATGCTTGGACATCCAGACTGACCTCAGATTCTGAATCGACACACGTCATTTTTTAAGACTGAGAAATAAACATTACTGAACTTGATTTCTACTTCATTGGTTTTAATTAGCTATACCAGTACCATACACAAAAAATAAATTCTGTTGAATGACCAAGGAGTATTGTCCATTAACAATAAAACCTGTTTACAGTTACCAATTTCCATTGCAACCAAATCTTTGGGACAAAAGTTAATAGCACATCTTCATATGGTACTTTTATATTGATGCCATGTTTTATCAGAATTGTTTAACTGTTGTATCAGAAGTTTGTGAAATCATTATTGCTGACCTATATAGTAACACAGGTTTTGTGAAATCATTTTTGCTGACCTACATAGTAACACAGGTTTTGTAATATCAGTATTTCTGACCTTATAGTAACACAGGTTTTGTGATATCAGTATTTCTGACCTATATAGTAACATAGGTTTTGTGACATCAGTATATCTGACCTATATAGTAATACAGGTTTTGTGATATCAGTATTTCTGACCTATACAGTAACACAGGTTTTGTGACATCAGAATTGCTGACCTATACAGTAACACAGGTTTTGTGACATCAGAATTGCTGACCTATACAGTAACACAGGTTTTGTGACATCAGTATTGCTGACCTATACAGTAACACAGGTTTTGTGACATCAGTATTGCTGACCTATACAGTAACACAGGTTTTGTGACATCAGTATTGCTGACCTATAGAGTAAGAAAGGTTTTGTGACATCAGTATTGCTGACCTATAGAGTAAGAAAGGTTTTGTGATATCAGTATTTCTGACCTATAGAGTAACACAGGTTTTGTGATATCAGTACTTCTGACCTATAGAGTAACACAGGTTTTGTGACATCTATATAAGAACATTACAGCTTACCTTGAACTCCTTCTTTAAAGAATCCATGAGTTTGATATGGGTGGTTCCAAACTCTATCAGGTAGTGGCCAACTATGGGAACAACATACATTAATCAGTTATTTCTCAGAATTCAGTGTATTGTGGTAACATAGTATCTAGTGAAAGTAAAAACTATCCCAACTAGACAGGGAAGAAATCTACCTTCACCTGGCTTTATAGCTGCATATCTTAAATGAGATACATTTAAAAAGGCCATTGTTATCCCTCTATCCCAACTCTGAATTTCATGGTCCAAGAATGCTCCATATCAAAGAAAGTTAATTCCTTTGCTGTAACAGAGAACTTCATTAGGGTCAGGTGAAATCTCTAAGGCAAGATAGATAAATGATATAGGGCCAGTTAGGGTCTGTAAAGCCTAACAGAGTTACAACACTAGCCTTGCGTACCTCTGTAGAGCTTAGCAAAGCTCAAGATGACCTTGAGTGATTTTTCTAGTTCACTGTCGGCCCAGGTTCCCTGTCGCCGTGTGGTATTGGTGTGATCCCCCTCTACTGTAGCCACAGGTCTGTAACACACATAGATGGTTACTGCTACGTATCAATGTTAGGACCATAGATTCAACTTCTGAATTAAAAGGCTGTTTAGAAAAGACAACAACAAAAACCTAACAAACTTAAAAAAACAAAACGAAGACCCTATTATATCAAAGAAGAAACCACACACTCCAATAGCTATAATGTAACAAAAGAGCATTGAATAAATCTGTCCTAAGGAATCGACCAAGGACAATTTCTAAAATTATAAAAACCAATTAATTACATGCTTGGTAATAAATTTAATTAGCATTAAGTTATTGATTTAGATATTAGAACTGTATCAACTAGTCAATCATCAGTCAAAACATGCTGTATGATCTACTCACTTCTGTGTGAAGGAAAATAACTTGGATTCATATTCCTCAAAAAGCTTGTCAACAAGGCAGAGCTCACAGCTGTAAAGGATAAATAGGAAGAAGAACTTCATTAACTTTCATCATCACATAAAAGCTAAATTTCTCCATTCATCAACTATTTAATTTTTTTTATTAACATTACAATGTCACATGTTTTCAGCTGTTTGCTTGTACACAGCAGTTACAACAGGGTAAGGACTAGATAAAGAACTGTACGTTTTAGGAACCTGTCCCACTGGTCTAAGGCAGCACTCTACAGACTGGTTCAATATGTCCTGTGTCACTGGTTCACACAACTTCCCAATCCCTTGTAGCAATTTCTCATGTGCAGATTCCAAGGCCACCAGTTTGCCATGTATGGTTAGCTCTAGCCCTCGGGAACCATGGAAACTGTCAATTCATAGATGTTTACAACTTATGTCTCCTTCACAACTTAAGCAGAATCTGGTATACACAATACCATTTCAACTGATAAAAATAAAAGCGTATTTGTCTTCGGAGACACACAGCAAATCATTCTATTTTCAACACGTGGGTTGTAGAGAGCTACTGAATGGGTTTCTAAAGTATGACTTACAAATGGGCCATAGATACATGTGACTTACAGATATGTCGAAAATGTGTCATGGACACAGGCAGATTACAGATTTACAACCATGCAACTCACAATAAGGGTTTGTATGACTTACGTTAGGACTATGAACACAAATGGATTTCAGAAACTTACAGGCGGGCCATGGATACATGTGGATTGATATGGTTGTCAACATAGTCTCTCATCAGTTCACTCTTCACCATTTCCACAAGGATTTCATCTGTCTGTCTTTCCTCTGCAAATTTGATTACCTCTAGCCACCACTCCAGTCCATCAGAAAGCTGAAGAAAGCAATACAACAACTGTTTTTGTGTACAACCAAATATAGACTACATGTAGATAAATTTGGATTTAAATATTGTCAAAAAGAATTATGCTATGTGGGATATATTTATTCTTCAACCATTTTTCAACTAAGAAAAATTTCATTACACACAATAAGTTTAAACTTGTTTATTTAAAGAGCAAAGGGATTTTACAGGTGGATTCAGAAAATTTTGGCAACAGACAACCTGCCGTGTTTTATCATTAAATCTCATTAAAACATATAGACAACAATAACACCATTACAAACTAGAACTTAGTTGTGCTCTTCTGAGTAGGAGTCAATGATATACTTTCCTAATTCAGCAAATGAGCAATACTTTGTCAACACAGGTTCAATCAGTGAGCTTTGACTGTAAATAAGCTTACCTCAGTATGGAACTGAGCGATGCTCCACTGAATAGCAGTCAATCAGCGGCTGACTGTATATAAACTCACTTCAGTATGGAACTGAGCGATGCTCCACTGAACAGCAGTCAATCAGTGAGCTTTGACTGTACATAAACTTACCTCAGTATGGAACTGAGCGATGCTCCACTGAACAGCAGTCAATCAGTGAGCTTTGACTGTATATAAACTTACCTCAGTATGGAACTGAGCGATGCTCCACTGAACAGCAGTCAATCAGTGGCTGCCTGTATATAAACTTACTTCAGTATAGATCTGAGCGATGCTCCACTGAACAGCAGTCAATCAGTGAGCTTTGACTGTATATAAACTTACTTCAGTATGGAACAGAGCAATGCTCCACTGAACAGTAGTCAATCAGAGGCTGACTGTAAATAAACTTACCTCAGTATGGAACTAAGCGATGCTCCACTGAACAGTAGTCAATCAGTGGCTGACTGTAAATAAACTTACCTCAGTATGGAACTAAGCGATGCTCCACTGAACATTAATCAATCAGTGAGCTTTGACTGTACATAAACTTACCTCAGTATGGAACTGAGCGATGCTCCACTGAACAGCAGTCAATCAGTGAGCTTTGACTGTACATAAACTTACCTTAGTATGGAACTGAGCGATGCTCCACTGAACAGCAGTCAATCAGTGAGCTTTGACTGTACATAAACTTACCTCAGTATGGAACTGAGCGATGCTCCACTGAACAGCAGTCAATCAGTGAGCTTTGACTGTACATAAACTTACCTTAGTATGGAACTGAGCGATGCTCCACTGAACAGTAGTCAATCAGTGAGCTTTGACTGTACATAAACTTACCTCAGTATGGAACTGAGCGATGCTCCACTGAACAGCAGTCAATCAGTGAGCTTTGACTGTACATAAACTTACCTCAGTATGGAACTGAGCGATGCTCCACTGAACAGCAGTCAATCAGTGAACTTTGAGTCAACCTCAGTATGGAACTGAGCGATGCTCCACTGAACAGCAGTCAATCAGTGAGCTTTGACTGTACATAAACTTACCTTAGTATGGAACTGAGCGATGCTCCACTGAACAGCAGTCAATCAGTGAGCTTTGACTGTACATAAACTTACCTTAGTATGGAACTGAGCGATGCTCCACTGAACAGTAGTCAATCAGTGAGCTTTGACTGTACATAAACTTACCTTAGTATGGAACTGAGCGATGCTCCACTGAACAGTAGTCAATCAGTGAGCTTTGACTGTATATAAACTTACCTAAGTATGGAACTGAGCGATGCTCCACTGAACAGTAGTCAATCAGTGAGCTTTGACTGTACATAAACTTACCTTAGTATGGAACTGAGCGATGCTCCACTGAACAGTAGTTAATCAGTGGCTGATTGAAGTAAACTTACCTCAGCTCGGAACTGAGCCATGTTCTGCTGTGTAGGGGTCAGTGAACTTTGGCTTGATGTTACTTTAGCTTCAGCCTTTAACATGTAATTTTTTCTCATTTCATCTGCCTGCAAATAGGACAAGTTGATTGTTCTGTTTTATTTTACAGTGATAAAATTTGCTGAGAACTAATTTTGTTATGGACAATATAATTGATAACAACAGACTTATTTATTTCGTCTAATTTGTGAAATAACTCTTATAAATAATTCTTCTTTGACATGGCAGATGTACAGAAGGTTTTTTCTCCATCTGCTTATTGTGACAGTGCACTAATGATTGTACCAACACACAAAATTGTGAATTAATTACTAGTTGATTGAGAAATAATTTCTTAAGTTGTTAACTACAAGCTGAAATTGTCTTCAGCTGAACCTACCTGTTGTTTTAGAAGGCCGTCCCTGAGTGTAGGGGCTACACCCTCTGGTTTAAGGGACAGGATCTCATGGAGGTTGTAGAGAGTATGTAACAGCTGTAATTTGTCTGTCCTAAGGTAATCTTTGTGTTCCTCCACTGACCATAACACCTCACGGTACATGTCTACTGCCTCAGAATACTGCAACATTACAGAAATGTTTTAATCTTCTATTATATAAACTATAACCTTTCTTAGGTTTGAAAGTTTATCTAGGTCAACATTGTGAACACTACACATACTACCTTAGCATTCCAGTAGATTATATATTATATTTGTACCTTGGCCACTTAGGATCCTGGAAGTGACTTCATTGATCAAGGTCATTGATTTAAACAATCTTGATAGCGCCGCCATGTAACAGGTCAATATCACGACCCAAAGTCTTTTTGATATTCAAAGTAGATGAATGGAAGTGATGCTTGACATATGAATGCTGCATTACATCCGTATCTTTCCGGCAGGATAGCTAAGAAACTGTTACTGTATCAAACGTAGTGCTACCATACAAACTGATTATAGACCTTTAATATATATAAACTGTCATGTATTTATAATGAAATGTGCCAAACCTTAACTTACATCACCATTTACCATAACAAATAAAAGTTAAAGAAGATCCCCACTTCCCCTTGCTTTTGCAATACATTTATATCTGTAAAGAGCTCTCTCTCAAAAGAAACTTCTTGTATATTGACAATGTTTCAAAGGCTGAGAGATCTGAGATTTCACCCTTAGACATAATTCTGCTCTTTAATAGTTCCACGGTACCTCTTCTTTTATAATGTGGAGACCAGCTGTTCCATTGATAGCTGCGACTAGTTGACGGTGAGATTCTTCACATTCTGTCTGTGCCTTCTTGATTAAGGATTCCAATAATTCATCCATCGTCATGGTACTGGAAAACACCAAGGTCAAATACCAACAAGAAAAAGAAACATATGAAAAACACAAAGTCATTGTACTATGAAATTACAATTATTGATATGGTGAACATAAAAATTGTAAACTCCTGTTACTGTCCAGCAGTTTATAGGTATATCTATATAGCCAAAAGACTGAAGATTCTATGGTTTTGGAGCATGACTCACTTTTTTTGCAAAGGGATAAATTCACCACGGACAGCCTGGGGATGGCAGCAGGCTTGACGAAGCTTTAGCAATGGTGACAGTAGCTGAAAGTTAATTCCAGACATAAAATATTTTAATATAATTATCATCAGTGTCATAGGATGGAGTAATGAAAAAACCCTGTCTCAGCTGTACTTGAACTAGCAACATTTCAGTCTTAAGCTGGACACACTACAACTTGACTATAAGGAAATGCCCATTAACTAAAACTAGCATGGTGACCTGTTCTCTCAGCTTCTACATTAACCCACCTTCAACTCCTAAGAAAACAACAATCTTGGATCTTTATCTCCAAGACAACAACAAATCAGGTGCTTTTATCCTTGCCATCAAATGTTTAATGAGTAGGAGTTATGAAACACATCCTGTCCGTGCTGGGGCTCGAGCTAGTGGCCTTTCCATGGTTTCTAATGGGAAATTCCCACTAGTTGAGGCTGATAAGTTGACATGTACTCTTAGCTTCTCAACCAATAAAATCAAATTATAACTGGAAGATAAACCACAAGAGATTTTTGACATCATATGACAGGCACTGTCATACATAACAAAACCGTCATACTACCCAAATTCCAAGCAAACTTAATGCATTAATAATTTGTTTTCTGGGTATAAAACCCCAAGGACAGACAGAACTTTTTTGAGGCAAGGTCTACTTGAAGTAGCTGAACATAAAACAGGAGGCCTATCACATGCTATCCAGAGTGATTGGGGTAGCATATCTTGCCCAACAACACTGTAATGTCTGTGGCTTCCTCAGAAAAACAAAACATTCTGGCAGAGATCAGACTAAATAGAGGCAAAACATCAAAACATTCTGGCAGAGATCAGACTAAATAGAGGCAAAACACCAAAACATTCTGGCAGAGATCAGACTAAATAGAGGCAAAACATCAAAACATTCTGGCAGAGATCAGACTAAATAGAGGCAAAACATCAAAACATTCTGGCAGAGATCAGACTAAATAGAGGCAAAACACCAAAACATTCTGGCAGAGATCAGACTAAATAGAGGCAAAACACCAAAACATTCTGGCAGAGATCAGACTAAATAGAGGCAAAACACCAAAACATTCTGGCAGAGATCAGACTAAATAGAGGCAAAACACCAAAACATTCTGGCAGAGATCAGACTAAATAGAGGCAAAACACCAAAACATTCTGGCAGAGATCAGACTAAATAGAGGCAAAACATCAAAGGTCTGTGAATATTTGTGCAACTTTAAATGGTACTTAACACATGAAATTGGCTACCGTAGGTTAAGAGAAATGGAGAACAAACTTTGACCTTGTCCTGAACTTACACATACACAGATAATTCAACAAGTTGGCTTTGAACGAACCATTTCAGATGTGTGGTAATGAACAAGATTCTGTTCTATTGATTTCATATCAGCAAATTTTACCAGGATCAAAGTTGTTTTGTAGTACTGTACTGTATCTGATACAGAAATCAAACTATACATACCTGACTAACAGTATGGTTACATACATACCTGACTAACAGTATGGTTATATACATACCTGACTAACAGTATGGTTACATACATACCTGACTAACAGTATGGTTACATACATACCTGACTAACAGTATGGTTACATACATACCTGACTAACAGTATGGTTATATACATAACTGACTAACAGTATGTTTATATACATACCTGAGGAACAGTATGGTTACATACATACCTGACTAACAGTATGGTTACATACATACCTGACTAACAGTATGGCTATATACATACCTAACAGTATGGCTACATACATACCTGACTAACAGTATGTCTATATACATACCTGACTAACAGTATGGTTATATACATACCTGACTAACAGTATGTTTATATACATACCTGACTAACAGTATGGTTATATACATACCTGACTAACAGTATGGTTATATACATACCTGACTAACAGTATGGCTATATACATACCTGACTAACAGTATGGTTATATACATACCTGACTAACAGTATGGCTATATACATACCTGACTAACAGTATGGTTATATACATACCTGACTAACAGTATGGTTATATACATACCTGACTAACAGTATGTCTATATACATAACTGACTAACAGTATGGTTATATACATACCTGACTAACAGTATGGTTACATACATACCTGACTAACAGTATGGTTACATACATACCTGACTAACAGTATGGTTACATACATACCTGACTAACAGTATGGTTATATACATAACTGACTTACAGTATGCTTATATACATACCTGACGAACAGTATGGTTAAATACATACCTGACTAACAGTATGGCTATGTACATACCTGACTAACAGTATGGCTATATACATGCCTTACCAACAGTATGGTTACATACATACCTGACTAACTGTATGTCTATCTAAACTGCTCAACTTTGTGCTCAGATCTGTCCATTTGCTGTAACTCTGAAACATCAAATGTGTATGATAAACTCATATCCTTATCACAGAAAACTTTTGAATTCTGTAATACTACAAAACACCATGCCACCTTATCTTTAGCTTATCTTTATGATAATTTATGAAATGCTCAACCAACGATTCAAGGTTAGGTCTTTTGTGACACTACTGTAAGGAGTTATCAACATTTTATTAAAGAATCAATCTTAGTTGTTCCTCCATCAAATATACAAAGTTTAGTGGTAATCTTTTTTTAGTGTTTTTTACACTAAATTCAATGCACTAAATTATGCTTGCTAATTGCAGTTGCTTTCATAGCATTTGTTGAGTGTATACAAATTTATCATTTGAATAAGTTGCTAAAAAGTGATTGTGTCCTTTTATAATATCTATAAATAAAGTTAATTTATTTCCTCCTTCATTTGTACAACCATGAAGCCCTTATCTAGGTGAAGACTGATATGTTATAGATACCCGTCTAGCCGCTGAGGCACAGTCTTTATACTGACGCCTGTAGAAATGGTCCTCCACTGGTGAAAAAGTCAACCAATGAACATGTTCTGATTGATCAGGAATATTGATCTGAAAGTAATAGGTCAATATCTGATCAAGCATCTATTAACTTAAATTTACAGTAACACTCATCCAAACCTGATAATCTGAAACACAATGGTTTTACTTTCATCATGCTGGGCTGCAGGACATTAATAATCTTTACCATCATGTTGAGACATTTTTACCTACCACTGAAGATATTAAAGATTCTATTTTTCTGATTAAAATGAGGACAGTCTACAGGTTTGGTGTATTCATCTAGATACCTGAACAAAAGTTTGACAGGTTAGATAGGAAACACTTAAAAGCTTGACAGTTAAGACAAGTTTGAACAGCTATAGCTGAACCAGAAACTTCATTGTTCACATACAAATTATCCAAGAAGCTGACTTAATCCTTTAATAGTTTCTCTTACCTGATCAATCACATCTTTTTTGGCATTACGCCAGAGAACACTGGAGAGGACGTTGTGAAGAGGTTGAGGGTCACCCTGACAGAAAGGGTTATACAACAGGGTCGTCCACCAATGCTTCACCCAATAAGGATCCAATCCAAGGAACAACAGCAGCCCATACACATCTGTAAATCAATTACCAGATATACACTGACAATAACTTAGGTGATCTCTGATTTCAATATGAAGCTTATATCAGGTGTTATGTCCAAGTATAAAACATTTAACACAAAGAAACTTAAAAATGACGTACAGACTAAAAAGATAGTGAACAATGCAAATAGTACACACCAATAATTTATTGTGGAAAACTTCATGTCATTTGGGACCAAAATTACCTTGACATTGTTCATATAATAACTGGTCATTTGATCCAAACATATTATATTATTCTATGTTGTTAAACATAACATTTTTGCATCATGACACACAAACCTAATAGGGATATAACCAAACATTGTAAAAGAAATAAGAACTTTGCAACATTATATGTCGCGCTGTTCCCATTTGGACTTTTTTAACATGAGAAGGGTTGTTGGTCAAGGGATTAGTGATGAGTTTCCATACCTGAGACACTTTTCTGTATGGGGGTACCAGTAACACACCACCTGTTAACTGCACTCAAACGTAGCGCCATCTCAGCAGTCTGAAATTTAAGGCAGGATCACATTTTACTATTGATACACCGGCAACATTAAGGGAGTGACAGAAGGAATCTTACAGGCAGCATAGTACATTTACAAAACATTCTTTCCATGTGGAGTGCATTTTTTGACAGTGTATCACAGAAATTTTATCACACACACACATATATCAGCATTTATTCTGGTATCCTTAATAAGTCCAGAAGACCAACACCTTACTTTTAAGTCATTACAGGACAATGAAATGGTATTGAGTAAGTAATCATATGGAACAGCAATGCATATGGGTAGGTTCATCACCAGGCATGGGGTTATTGTCAGATATATATATAATAAATGGTTAATGTGTAACAGCCAGAGCAAAAACACTACTTACCTTACTTGTTGTAACTTCTACCATCTGAGCCTCATCCAAACAAACCTACAAAGATTTACAACATGGCAAGCATGATACAGCTATACACCAATACAGCAGTCTCTCTTGTGTTTTCATTATCTTGGCAATTGTCAATTAAATTCTGACACTGGATGTTGACAGTTGGTTAATCTTTTATATTCAATTCAGGATATGATTTACAAGCTTCTGTTTCAAACTAGATATTATCAAGACCACTAAAAATATCAGATAAAAAATACTTAGAAAAAAATAACACATATTCCTCAAATACATTGATAAAAATTAAGCCCATCTTATATTTTTGGAAAAACCACTGAATGATAGTCGAGTATAGAAAAAATCTATCCAGAATATGGTCTACACAACAATACCATTAACATTATACATTGTTACACTTCATTTTGTCACCAGCAAGGACTAAGTTAAGAAAAAATCAAACCAAATTCCACATATCCAAATTTACAGAATAATCTATCGCTATGTTAATTATAGTATACTTGTTACATACTCTCCACCATTCCACTGCTGTCAAGGGACTTGGTATGGCCATGAAGCGCTTTGGGTTACGGAATGCTCTTGTTGTATCACCTGAGCAAGAAAACAAATCAGACCGGAATAAAAACACTTTAAATAATACCATCACCTAGTAAATAAACAAAAGAAAAAGAATTAAAAACACATACAGTGGCATCAACATTAAATTAATCGGGCAATATCAGGCTAATATGTCAAAGTTGAATCCCGAGGCTTTGCATATGCAATACATACAATAACCTATACTAAATATGAAATTCCTACATGTCAGACAACGACCCGCTCCAATTATTAAAAATCACTTGTATGTAATTAGTAAATCATGAAAGTCATGAAGAGAAGGACTTAAATTCAAGAACACATATCATCCAAGAGAAACAACATAGACTGCTAACTGTTTGAATGAGGAAGGTCTACATAGTCAATCTCCTTTCGCAGAGTTTCATAGGTAGTGATGACAATGTCCTGCTGGGCAAGAGTCCGGGGCTGTATAAATCCAAGCTTATTCACCCCAGTGTACACCTACAGAAGATATGACTGATTACTAAAAATACATTTTGTGACAGTTTCACAATATCAACATCCAATATATTTATAAGATGTGCTGAATTACATATAAACAACGAGAAATTTTGGTTTCAAAAATATCAACCATTCAGTATACTTGAAGAAAGGTTGGGTTACTCACAAACACTTTGAGTGACTGGCTGCGGATGTGCTTCAGAATTTCATCTACCCACTGGTGACAGATGGACGAAGGGGAGATAATAAGTGTGGCACCAGACTTGATGGGTGACTGTTTAAGCAACAATATTTATAATTAGAGTATCAGGTGGAGAAACATATTATTTCATTACTTCATTATCCATATCAATGTATCTTCTATGTAAAGTCGATAATCAATTTGAAGACAACACTAATGATTTTAAAAATGAAAAATACATATTTTTTTCCGCATAGAGTGATAGCAATGCAAAAAATCAAAACTCATTATGACCTCATATTCCAAGGTTCTTTTTTTGTTTGAAGTTAGAAAATGGAGAAGGGAAATTTTCAGAAATAGATTTTGCTTTGCCTAACACAATATATGTTTTAGGTACTCACAGACGAGACATGACAATGAGGACAGCGGAAGTTGCCCCTGAAAGGATCGTCAAGGTTGTAGTGGACACATTCTGCATGCTGCTGTAGTCCACAATCCACACACTGGACAGAGTGTCGCTTTTTACCTGATGTTGCAGTTGTTGCTCCACAGATACATTCAAAGAAGTGCTTCCGCCTTATTGGAGTGGAGCCAAAGAACTGGTATTTAGGCTTGAAGGAAGATTCCTCCACCACCTCGACAAAACGAGATGGTATGGACCCTTTCTTGGGCTTACTCATTTTCTTGCCTTCACTTCTGTTTGTCATGTCATCAAGTTTCACTTCAACTGATGGCACAGGCTTAATCTTCTTTGATTTTCCTTTCTGTTTTTTACATTTTTCAGTTTTCTGTTTTTCAGGTTCCTCTTTGTTACAAAGAGCGACTGTCTCAATATTCCCTGTCACAACTCCATCAGCTCCATCCTCAATATCACTATCCTCCACATCTACATGGCTACAGTGTGATAAACGACGAGACTTTTTCTTCAATGTCCATTTCTTACGTCTACGCTTTTTCACCGTTTTTCTTGTTGACCGGCTACCAGCTTCCAACTGAGGACTATCTGCAGTTTTAACTAACTCACTGCAAGTTGAAGCTACAGGACCATCCATTGCCTGACCTACATCTCTTCTCGTCTCTATGTTATCAACACTGCCACCTGAAATATCACAGATTCCTTCATTAACCAAGGATCTAGTCTCATCTACATCGGCCACATTTTGAAGAAGACCCGTATCCTGAGTGATAGATTCCTTATAACTTCTAGCTTCTGAACTACTTAAGCTCAAACCCAGGTCTTTTTCTTTGATATCTACATTCTTGATCAAGTTTGTGGAAGCATCCTCTCCATTTCCACAGACAGTAGAAATTTTCCTGTGTGTATTGTTTGGTGTGTTATCACAGCTATCAGCTTTGTCTGTTGGGCCGTGACTTTCACCTCTGGACTGACCTTCGTCCTCAACCTTTCCAACATTATCACATGGATCTGACTTGACACAGTCTTCAGCATTGGATTCGACAACATGTCCATCACATGCTGAGTTCACTACTTCAGTGGTTAGAGTCTTGTTTCCTTCAACTTTTACCTTGCCCTGACTACCAATATCTTCAGATTCTTCATTTTCTGGTGTTGTAATTATGTCGTTTACAACACATTCACTTTCTTTTAGTGAGTCAACTCCATTTACAACTTCTACTTCTGGAACTATTTTAAGTGATTTATCACTATTGTTAACTTTGACATGAACATGTTTGACATGAACATGCCTCTGACTTCCATCCATGTCGATGTTCATCTCCTGAAAAAAATAACAGAACTGACCATCAGCTTAATGATATGACTAAGAAGTCTATAAAAGTGAGCAGAAAAATTGTCAGCAAAGCTTTAAAACTTCTTTCAAACTAAATATGGGAAGTTAAACACATTCTGGAAGTACAACCACAGTGTGTGATGCCTCCTTTGTGCTTTCAATGGTGGATACTTGTATCTCCTTGCCTAGATATTGATAGGATAAAAAAGATCACAACAGGAAGTGTACGATAAGGATCAAGAGTACCAACCTTCAGTGTTGGGAGTCTGGGAGGCTGCTCAATAACAGGACTTCTATGCAACAAAATACAGGCAAGTACCTCCACTGTCTTGCCAAGTCCCATCTCATCTGCAAGGATTCCACCTGGAGGAATCACCAATCTCTCCTGACGCTCCATAGTCAAACTATGATAAATTCAGTACCAAGGACCAAAATAGCTAGCTGTATTATGTTGCAAGTTCAAATCAATCAAAACTTAACATGGAGTCTAACTGCAGATGGCACAACTGGTGCCAACACAACAGGGTCTACCTATCATAAATAATTCTTCCATTAATCTATCTTTCCACATTTTCATTCAAAGAATAATAGAATTTAGAAAAGAATATAGTGTTAGACACCATGGTAATATAATTTAAAGATTATCAATGGGCTTTCACACAATGCTATACTATCGTTTGGATGGTCCAGTGGCGCAGTGGTAACACACTTGCCTTTCATCTAGCCATCTGGGATTTTTTCCCTGAAGGGATGTGAAAAGGGAAGGGTCACCTGCCTGACCACATGGGTTTTCCCTGGGCACTATAGTTTCTTCTTACAATACATCCCCCTGAACTCTTACATCCGGACCAACAAGAGTGATCAGTATAAGTTCAAATTATTTTTTCACAACTGTTGTAATGAAAGGTTATATTTTTCTATCATTGCTTAACTTAAAGAATGTTACTCTTAAGTTCAGATAATACAGTTCACAAATCACACAAAGGTGATTATTTGAGTTTCTCCCATACTTTCCGATCACAAAATACTGAACTTTTTGTTATCAACTGCATACATTGCATCATCATGTATGACCTGTGAAGTGTGGATAAAAATTGACGACACCATTAACGACACAGTTACAATAAATAATGTGATGGCAAGACTTTTATGTGTGTAAGCTATCTTTATTTCCAAGCAAATGCAGGATTGCGCATGTGAAGAGTGGGAGAAAGTGCCAGGACTATATAATTTTATAGTGATAATTTCTCTTTATGCATACACACTGAATGTAACTGAAATAACATTATACTTCTGCCACAGCAGTGAAAACTAATGTTTTATATAGAAATTATTAAAAAAGACTTGATGACACTTAATACATAGTATGCCAGCACTAAATGTCTAGTCAGATATTGTGTCTGTAAGTTACCTTCCCAAGTACTTGTTGTAGTATAAAGTGTTGCCACCTAGTGTCTTGACTTCCTCATACAACATGTGGATGGGCACCTCTGTAAGATTATAAATAGACACATTTCACAAACAAAGTGGAAGTTTCATTAAAATGTACTTGTTTATCAATATTTCAACAGCGTCCAAGTTCACTTAAACTTCTGGGTTTCTCAGCTTCCTGATAAGCAATCACTGCCTGGAGTAATTGATCATCACACTACACATCTCGGATCTTTACCTATGGTTGTAAAGTCTATTGCTCCATTTTACTCTGATAACTTGAGAGAGTTAGTTTTACGACCATATCTTTTGACTGACCTGTATTAGCAAGTAGACTGTCTGTGGGTTGATTTTTTTCAACCTTGAGCCCCTCTCTAGACAGCATCCAGGACACGCCTTTTCTCTGATAAGGCCTCAAGTGGGGTATGAGGCTTGGATGCTGCACCTCAATACCAGCAGTTATCTCCTCCTTGTCATGTGTTGCCTTGATAGCAGTGTACAGGGCCTCAATATCATGCTTCTTTGAGCTGATTTCTTGGTCAAAAACTAAGTAAAAATAACTTTGAGCTTTTAGTAAGAATATTGGGAAAATATTAAGATATTTCCAGTTATACGTTATATAATAATAACTCTAATAAATATAACATCAGAATAAAATCAGTTCAGAGTGTCACAGGGTATAAATAAATTCTAAACATGTATAATAAAAAACTTACCACGTGGAGTTAGTCCATAGAAGTGGGACATGATAATCCTCAGAAGAATGTTTTGTTTCTTCATTCTGACATGCTCACTTGGGAATTTAGGTTTATATAGCAAGGCCTCTCTAGCATGAATGGTCAGATCAAATCTTAATGTTGTGTGATCATAGTGACTAATTATCACAACAGCCATCTTTGTATTGTAATTGTCAAAAACTGCAAGTACCTGCATAACAGAAAGCAGTTTTTACATCACAGATCTGATTTTGTCATAAACAAGTACTCGATTCATTACTGCTTTTGTGTAAAATGTTGAAGATATATGCAGGCTACATACTGATTTTGTCATAAACGTTTAAAGAATTTTTAATTCCTTTGACTATGATTAAAATATCGATATACATTGTATATATGTACCTCAGTGGGAATATCTATTTCCACACACCAAAATTTCAACAACCTGGACTTGGACATGTCATCATTCTCTTTCTTTTCAAAATACAGCATACTTTTGCTTTCCACTTCACTGACATAAAGCCAGATCTCTGTATCACTCTGCAAACAGTCCTCCACCTCCCGATCTCTTGTCAAGCAAGGTAACAACTTAATACTGAAAACACCTAACATTGTGTGCCACTCATTCTCCTGAAATGGTGAAGATGACATCACCCTGACAGAGTAGGAACAATATTTCAGGTTGTCTTCAAACATGTCTTGCATTTGCTGTGTTGAAAACTGTGACTGTTGTGTGCTGTCTGCCTCAATCACATTCCTCTTGGGTGAACCTTGAACCTGATGTGCTTCATTCAGAATGGAAGGGTCATTATCATCCAACACAACCAGGGATCCTTCTGGATTTACACCTTCAAGCATGTTCCACTCCAAACATCTCCGCTTCTCTGCTGATGCCCGCTGAGGGGCGCCTTGCTTCCTCCTACCCATTGCTTTCAATATATCGCCCAAATTCCAAAGTAGGTTTACAATGTACCTCAAAATAGAAATAAAAATGTTTTTCAGCATTATAAGTTGACTCTGAAGATTGGCAACAGTTATAACTACTGAACAATGATGTGTTCTTTATAAACAGGTTGAGATTGCCATAATTCTACTTTTAATTCTTAAATCATATAATTGATATAGACATACAGGCAATGTGCTGCCACCTGTATTGCACTGCAATAAATCCTTATATACACAAATTCAGCTACATACATATATAACATCTTAAATTTACAATATTAGATTCCAGAATGTCTAGATCAAGCCAAAAATGCAGCATTTTTTTTTCCACTGAAAAAAGATTTTGCAAAAACGAGATAACTAGAGCCAAAATACAAATTCTGACTTAAAATCAGCAATGAAAATAATGGGAACTGATGGGAGTAATGGACCATTTTTAGCAATTCTTAATTGATACGAAAAAAATAAGATGGGCCATCCCATGTAAAAAAAAAAAATGAATGTTGAGGCCCTTGGCTACTTCAAAGTCAGTGGTTGAGTTTATTACATAGGAGAATGAAGTAACATGTGCTAGTGATTCTCCTTGATGGAAAGGACTATGGGTTCAAGTATAGGCCTGTGGGGTCGTCAAGTATTTGTCACTTACTGGAATCATGGAAGTAGATCTGCGAAGTACATTCTGGAATCATGCAGAAAACTTAACATTCAATTATGTTCTGTGCCTTACTGTATAAGTAGTAAAAATCAGTATGTTTAAATTCAAGAAGATTTACTTTATATAAATATGTAATTTGATTGGGCGAGTTGCCCGATCAAGATGTCACTAAACCTTTGAGACCTTCAAAAACTGTTTGCCAATCCTAATAATAGAATACTTGTATACTTGCTGAATGAGCAAAAATGTGGATTAGAGATCTATATATGGATATCACATCACATGGAAACAAGAGAGTATTATAATTATTACATTATCCTTATTTCAATAATTGTTGGAAAGATATATTGTAGATCCAAGTATGTAATTATGTAACAATCCAAATTTTTTTAACAAATTATTAATTGTTTTCTCATCTAATTAATTACTTTTTCAAGAAAAATTAATATAGCAAATTACTCTTCTGGTTTAAAATATTGCTGTACTTACTGCTTTTCATTCCTTTTTTTGTTGATTGATTTATATAACTCTTATTTACATTTTTTAGGGATATTTATTTCATTTTTCTATCATGACATATTCTTCTGTTTACATACTACATATAACCGTTTGCAAAACAATATAAGATATTTTTAGCACTTCCCATAGTTGATACTCTAAACAGAAGTAAAAGAAGGCTTTGAACGATGGGCTTACACGGGTGGTTGATTTGCCGAACTCAAAGCGAAAAAAACAAAGAAATCAAGATGTTGACATCGATGTAAAAATTACCTTAGATATCTATTCTAACTAATAGAAATATAGTCTTACCTCCAAATTGATTATGAAGTGTCCAAATTCGGTAATAATTACTACGACTTTATGACATTATCTTTATTACGCCTTACTTCAGCGTATCGTAGAGTTGATACAAATTGCACGTTCAATTTCACATTTTATACGAAACAAATTTCGTATATCTTGATAAAAAGGGGATTAAGCATTTTCGATAAAATAAAGACATATGTAATACATAGTAATATAATAATATTTATTTGTTTGTTTTAATGAAAAGTATTACTTTTATGAGTCGCTTATTATTATGTTTCGTTTCTATCATTGTTTCCAAAACGAGGCTTGTTGTTTTGGTATCGGCCATTTTAAAAGTGATACAAGTGGATGGTGATCGGACGGATGGTACAAATCGAAGAACATCGCTTTAGTGAATGGTGAAAACGATCTGGTTTTAATTCCATTTCATATGCCATCCCATTGAGAAAACTAACGAGTAACAATTTTCATCTAGCTAAATACAACTGGTGATTTATAAGACGCCAAAGCCATCGGAGCAGAATGGCTTGTGGTGCAACATTGAAACGAAGTCTTGAATTTGATCCGTTACACAGTCCTGGCCAAACAACACCTAAAAGAAGAAGATGTATGCCGATGACACTTTCTCCTTCAACTCCTCCAACGAAGTATCATCAAATAAACCCTTCTCCATTTGGGGAAGTGAGTCCAAAATTGACTTCGGGTAAGATGTTTTGACAGAATGACGGCTGTTATCTCGTTTTAGACTGCTTTACTGGAAATTTCTTTTAAATACTTGACAAACGTTGCGCATTTGTTAACCTGCGTGTTAGGCATGTTGTTTATTACTGAATATTATAATAATCTTTGGTATACCTTGACATTATGTCTTATTGTCTTGCTAACTGCTTGTTCATTCGAAGATAACGAGTTGCCGGTTCATTGTGCATGCATTGGTTGGCAAATTTCGAATTACGAACAGGCAAGCATTGGACTCGATCTGAACAAACTGCATCGGTTAATGAATTCGTCGGTTTTGTTGAACGTCCCAATTCCCTTCTCACATAAGGTGGGGTCGAGTTAGAATACGGGGATAAGTAGCCAAAAATATCGTTATGGGCATAGTCTTTGTACGATGTAATATATAGAGAATCCGTATCCAGTGTCTTAAAATATCGGATGTATTTGGCGAGGGTGCAGAGAGTAAAAACTGGCTCACTACCTTTGTTTTTCTGTCCTGAGTCAAAATGTAGCAGATATTTTAAATATATATATATATATATATATAAGAGACTGACCATGTATTCTTATTCTGATTTTCATGTTGCTCTTAATGAAATTTAAAGTCTATTCCATTTTTTTAGTTGATATAATGGTGATGCACGTTAAAATAATTTCCCTGTGCGGAAATGTAGTTCAAATGGATGTAAAAAGCAATTTTATGAATTTTAGTAAATGAACTTGTTTTTTTACATTAAATAAAAATCACTTATTAAGAGTTATTCATATTTTTTAATGAAATATCCAGGCAAATCAGAAGTTAATTCTACATATATAAAAATACACTTGCCAAAATGTATTTTGACAACAATTGCAGGACAAATATAATGTTCACATTATTCAATTTGATTGATGACACGTATTACTTGTCAATGTGACATTTAGCTAAAGTTCTGATTGTACTATTAACCAGTGCTGAGCACAAATCTGTTAACCTGTTATTGAGCAAGATCGGGGTATCTCAATGGAAGGATAAAATACTGTAACATAATCCCAATCCTAGGTTGGCTATACAGCCGAATCTATATATATGCATATAGACTAACCTGACCACTGCTCAAATTGGAACATTGCTTGAACTCTTTTTTTTTTATGTTGGGTTCTCATTCCACAGAACTGGTTTGTGCACTTTGAGGCATGATAATTAAGGGATATATTTACACTTATCATAGATAAGAAAAGGTTTCTTACTACAGTGGTAATCTTGATCCAGCAAACAACTGCACAGCAGATCCTGCTGTGTGCAACAACTATTAAAATAAACTTTGGTTCCCATACAATTTGCATACTTATTATTTTGCTTATTCTGAAATAATCGTGGTAAAATATCTTATTTAAAAGAAAAGTATTGCATCAAAAGCGGATTTGACATATCTCACACATTATAGTACAAACTTAATATTGGTTCATAGTTTACCCCATGCTAATCGACGATCAAAAGTCTTTTGGGCTTTTCTCAAGGAATATTTGAATATCATAGAACAAAACCACCATATGATAAATATTTGACATTTCAATGGGGGTGTTCGGGCACAGGTTCTGTCTTCCATTAATATCTGCCATAACATCAGTGTCATTGACAAACTACTGAGAATGATAATGTTATTTGATATAGCAGAAAATGTTCATGACATGTCTCTTCTAAGTTTATGCAACATTAGTTTAAATTATTTGGAGCACTGCTCAGATGAGTGTAGACCGAAGGTAAACAGGTGAGGTCTGGTCCTATCTTTTTTATGCAGATGAAAAAAATGGATGGCAAATCATACATCAATCAATTATAAAAAAAATTATTTTTACTCACTTTTAGGGATTTTTTTTTTTACTTTGTGATTGCAGTTTTCAGTATTCTTCATTCCCTATTTAATAACAAGTTCAATAGCAGGTCAATCCGATCTGGTGTTTGTTATACACTGTTATGTTGCCTCCAGATAAGCATCCCTTCAATGCAGATTTGGGCCACAGGTGAACTTACAACATGATATTTTCATGCCTAAAAATATACATGCAATGAATGTCAATTGTATGGCAGAAGCAAGTAGGATATGTGGTGTTTTTATGAAGAAATAAGACAATTTCTTGTCACCTGAACCTAATGTTTGATACCAATGCCCAAGTTGTAATTCAGATTGGCATACATGTACAGTACACTACAGTAGCCATAGACAGAGAACTGAAGCTACGTTACTGCCATTGATAGTCACCAACAACATAAGCAGTGTTACATTTTGGAAATCTTGATGTAATGACCTTAATTTTTCACTTTGTAATACATTTATCTTCATTAATATATACATGAGTGGAAGTCTTCACTAAATGTCCTGAGCATAATTCAACTTCATTCAAATCAGCACTGGTACTTAAAGCCCCAATATACATAAAAATCACTATAAAAAAACAAACTTTACCTTATCTTCCCCGTACTATATGTAACAAAACAAATACTTTCCTTTAATTAAATAAAATAAAACTGACTGTTTTCAATTTAAATAAAAAAATTTAAAAAATCGGAAAATAAACAATGTGGGACCCACAATAATTCATACATTACCGCTCGTAGCGATGACATTGCACATGCACATATTCCATGTGTGTAAACATGGCAGACACAGTACAGATGTTTACCAGTCGCTTCCTTTTTTCCCAATCATACATCAGGTCAGTTCTGAATTCTTACATTATAATTGTGCGTCGTATCGTTTCTAAACTAATTATTCCTTCTAATAATCTCTCAAAAACTGAATGTTTATCACAGGAATACCTCAAGTCTACAACAAGACTTCGCAAACAATGTTTGTAAACAAAAACTAACCGTAGACATATCTGCATGTGCTTCCTCTATAAGTATAAACCTCAACTCTCGCGAGATCAGGTCATGAACTTTCCGATGTGGTTCGGCAACAATCGTAATTTCGATGGCGGCGTGTTTAAAATGGGGATGTGTTTACAAATAGCGAGTTTCAACTGCTGATATGTCAATACTTTATGACCAAGGTTGTGTTTTATGTTGGTTAGAAATCAAATATGGCTGCCATCTTGGGAAAATACTTTTAAACTTCTCAAGTTCTACTGGTGAAATTGAACTGAATTTTTGTGGATATGAGGAATTGTTTTTTTTCCCTTCGCAGCTAAAATATGTGTTCTAAAACTGCTGATATATAATATATAGCTGTGTGATAGGTGTTTACAATCAGATTATCATTAAGGCCTATGGTCTCTTGGTTTTCTAGGTTTTTTTTTTTTGATCAGGATATGAATGTGATGGTTATTGAAGATCAGATATACGAGAAGTTTTTTTTTTTTTTTTTTTAAATATAATTCAATGTAATCTTTTCATCTCCAGAGCAAATTGCCACAAGTCTTGGTCTGGAAATTAAGAGGATGCAGAGAAGGAAGCAATTGCATTATCAGTCATCTGGAGGCCAGAGTCCACCAAACATGTCTCCCCAACATGAGGCTTCCTCCTCTTCACATTGCTTAACAGCTATGGAAAGCAGCAGTGTATGTGCCTCCCCTTCCTCTTCTTCCACTTCACTGTTTAGTGCTCTGTCACCAAGCAAAAAAGATGCCCCACTGTTCACCTTCCGGCAGGTCAGCCTCATATGTGAACGTCTGATCAGAGAGAGGGAAGATCAAGTCCGCCAGGAGTACAATACTACACTGACTTGTAAACTAGCAGGTGAGCATTTCATGAACAAGAATATTCTTATCTCCCCCAACTTCATTCTATGATGTATGCCAACATGTACATAGTTGCATTTGTTGTAGATTTGTTTGTTATGCAGTGCTAGTAGAGTGAACAATGTAAACACCAAGATGTGCTGCCAGATTGCATTTAAACTGTCACTGTAGAGAGTAACTGATAGAGTTGAAGTTCAGTATTTTGAATATCATGGTACTAGCAAAAAACTTCCAATACATCAAGATATTGAACATCTTAGACAAGTTATGTTGACGTTTTTATGTTCATGTCTTTAATTGTTGACGGCACATCTCTATTTAAAAAACCTGTATGCAATAAATACCAAAACACGTTTAAATGAAAAGAGACATTTTATCTTAAAGCATTTTCATTCATGAAATGAAAAACATAAAATTGTCAATGCATGCTTCCGTTTACACTTGTGCCTTCATGTACAGTATGTGTATTTTACAGATCAATTTTAAACAAAACAATGTACAACATTAAAGAGTTCATCACATGTTAGAGTTATTATTTAAAGAATAATACATATGTATAAGCACTAATTGATTTAAAAGAAAGGAAATTAATATCACAATGTAGTCTGTCCAGAAAGGACAGCACAAACTTTACACATCTTATGTCATAAAAATTACAAGGTTCTGATGACAACTAGTCTGAATCAATAGGGGGACACATGATTGACAAATAAATCACCATGTTTCTTTTGCTTTTATGCTTAAAAAGAAAAGTGAAGATTTGAGAATGAGTGACATCTTAAAAGCGTTCAGGATTTCCTCTGTATGTTTTCACAATTCTGTGAATTAGACCTGCCGCTGTGAACATCACACAACATCCCATTATCTATGTTGATTAAATGTAATGCTTGTAAGTAAGCAATTAAATTTTGATATGTGTCCTGTTATTAATTAATTTCGTAAAATGGAATGAAAGTACCTATACAGTACAGGTGAATTTTTTGTTCAAATCATGAGTTGTCCATGCCTGTGTTATAGCCAACTGTTTTTGAGAAAACATTGATACATTGAAAAGTTTTATTTATATTCATAAATTGATAGGTTAGTATATGGTAGAAAAAAATTGCAAACTGTGCAAAAAATTTGATACATGATGAATTTCAATCATGGGGAATTTTGATTTAAAAAGTTTGACTTGTTTATTATTAAAAGGTGATCGAGTAAATTTGGAGTATTATACCAATATCTTGCTCTCGCAACTTTATTTTTTAAAGGAATTTCATTAAACTTTGTGCAGTGGTGACCAATGACAATACCTTGTAGGAATTAGTGTTTTTTTGGATCGAAGTGCATAAAATAAGCTTTAAATTGACTATTTACAGTTACATTTCTTTAAGAATATTAATCAAACTTTTAAAGGAAAGTTAAACAATGTTATGAGAATGACTCAAAATTAACATCACTGTTACTGTTTCAAGAGTAATTTGGTGATTAATGACACTTAGACATGGCAGCAGAGTCTTGGAGGCATGCATGTCTTTGACATTTTCTGGTCTGTATATCATAAATGAATGTCTGCAGCCTTGTGTTGCCAAAGTGAGTCACAAAGTTCTATATCTCATTAATTTTCTTTATCTTTCAGAACAATATGAGGCTTTCTTGAAGTTCAATCATGACCAGATACACAAGAAGTTTGGAAATGCACCTGTTAGCTGTATGTATATAATGTATTATAAATTCTGTACTAGTTATTTTAACTATAGGACTACATCAGGATATTGTTATGTATCGATAAAATTCATTCTAAAATATTTCATGCAGTGAAAATTTGATATTTTACTTAAGACTTTTGAAAAAATTGTTAAATATCCATTTTACCAAAGTACATATATATATAATGTAAGCATGGAACATAGTGCACAGTAGCTACAATGTGTCCATGTATATAAATGCTTCTATTTTAGAAATCAGTTGAATATGCCACATTTTACCTAAGCTGGTTGGCATCATATATATGTAATTGATGAAGAACTGTTTAAAAGTTCACCACAGTCACTTAACATTGCTCCTTTTTGACAGACATCTGTGTCATAGCATGGCAATCATTTGATAAAAGATATTTCAAACATCATTTAGTCTTTTCAGATAACATATAAATGTTACAATGTCTGTTTGTCAATGAACATTTTGTTTCCAACATCTAGAGCTTTAAATTGTGTCAAATGGAACTATATATAATTTAGAACCCATTTGATCATTTTACATTTCAATTTTTGAAAATGTGTATTTTCTGAACAGCCTGGAAGAGCCACTGTCTGAAACAAGAAGTTACCAGATTCTACCTTCTGCAATCTCACTTGAAAGATTACACTATAGACTTAAGAAGTGAAGTTAATAAGTGATAGATGGTTTCTGATACAAATGTATCCTGATCCATTGAAGAATATGAGAAATGAATATGAAAAAAAGGAGGGGAATGGGGAGAATGCATAGCTATTTTGCACAGTTTAAAACTCTGATGGTTTTAATGGATTAAACAAATATTCCTTTTTATTCTTCAGATGTGTCTTGATGTGGAGTGGATGGTAGCTGAAATGTCCGTGTCCTTTTCTGCTTGCAAGAAGATTTGAAAGAATGTTGGAAAAAAATTGATGTTAGAAATTTGTAACTGTTGATGTATCATCACTTGTAAATGAAAATATTGCACTTGTTAGCCTTGCATGCTTGAGAAGGAATGAACAGATGTATTGAAGGCAGGTGCATTTACTGAATTCACTCAACGGCATTATTTATTAATGGAACTTCAGTAAGAAATTCATTGTGTTGTGAAAAACTGCTCATAATGAAAAAGGGAACTAGCTAATATACAAGTATAACGGGATAAATTTCTGCCACTGCCTGCTAGATGTTTTGATTTGCCGTTACAACAGCAATACGTTGTGACTTTGTTGGCCAGTGGTTCTGGAAGGACAATTAGTCACAATTTTCAGACTGATACCACATCCATGTGTGTTCGCGTATCGGACCTCAAGGTCTTCATGATAACCTTACAATTACTCGGGTCTATTACTCTACCAAAAAGTCAGGTAGAGCATCTCAAGTGTGTGTACTTCATTGTGTTTTAATATACTGTGTTTGGTTGCGTGTTTGGACTACTTGCATAGAGGTGCACATTTATGAGTAAGTGGTGGGCCAGTCTATGTCAGCCTCCTGCTTTTAGACACTTTGTGTATATATATATATTTACAACTTTGTAATACAGTAACATTATCTGTACATACATAACCATTATGCTGCATGTGACAGTAGTCCACAGTTAATACAGGTAGACAGATGTCTTCTGAAAAACAAGGAATATATGGTATAAGTTATTCGATAGGGAGAAATGTGTTGACATGGTGAGGAAGGGTTGATCAGTGAATTGCCTTTGTATGGGTGTCTGGGCACAAATATTGTTGCTTAGGATGCCTTTTCAATCATTCAGTTTAATTTGAATCTTGTTTGCATTAATATTTCTACACTTTTTAAGTTTTATTTCATTTTAATTAATATTTAAGAGTTTTAGTTTAGCGAACACAAGTAGTGTTGTATTTTATTTCATAGAGGGAAACCACTGTTTTCATACCATTATCAGGCAGTAGAATTATAATTATGTAAATAAATCTTATTTGTTGGACATAACTAAAATTTGAAAAATAAAATCTGATTCACACTCCATTGTGCTTTCATTTATTAGCCTTCCTATCAAATTGTCTTGCATCTGTTGTCCATTGTTTTCTGACACTATTTCTTAAGTACATGAACCAGATGATTCTGTCTCAGATTTCATATGTAAGTTCCACTTGATTCCTAGCGGTGAAGTTTTAATATTTGTTATGATAAAGAGAACATCAGATGACTTTAAAGTTACCATTTTGGATTCTGTTTATGAAAATTTATGGCTGGCCGTTACTTTAAAAGTACTGAATGGATCTGAGAAACAAAATGTCTAACAGGTGACCATCTTGGATTTTAACACTGGAAGTTTGTTATCGTATCAGAAGGATGTATTTTAAACTTAAATAAAAAAAAGAAGGGAGAGGGCTACAAATCAAATTTTTACAATCCTGGGATCTCAAAAGTACATAACAGCATCACCAGCCACCAGAAAATGATTCAGTGCATCTCTTTATCGCCTGTATGGGCACCTTGCAAGGCAGTGCAACAGGATATTGGCCTTTTAGGTGGCCAATCAGATGATGGTGAGCTATGCAGCAGCTCCCTGCCTGGATTGCGATGCTTTTTAAGTGAATGGTTACTTTAAGGTAGTGTTTAATCATTGATTAATATAGAAACAGTAAGTGACGGTAAGAATTGTTAGGTAGCAGTACACAGTTTCTCGGTGTGGCCATGGGTGATTTTTTTGCTCATTAGATTACCCCATTATAAAGGTTTTAATTAAAAATGAAAAAAAAAATCCTTGCTAAAATTGGTCCTGTCATGTTAAAGTGGACAATGTGGGGTTTCATTTTTTTCAGGATAATATTTTAGCTTTTTGTTGGAGATTACTATTTGGGCAGTCTCGAATCTGTGTCTACGCACCAAAAACTAGCTTCACAGGAAGTGAAATTTTCATAGCGTTTACATGTGGTCATGTTATGAAGAATTTCCGAGTTGGAATTTGCTAAAATGTAAGTACTTTGTTACCATGACAGTGTTGTTGATTGTAAGATAGGTGTTTAGAATTAAATTTCTCCAAGAAAGTTGTAGTGTTGGATTGGAATTAGCAGTATTTTTGCATTTTTAGCATTTTTTCAGTAGGTAACCATGACAATCAAATGTCAGAAATCAGAGGAAATTTTTTTTTACACAAATTTCATCTCTCTACTGTTAATGTAATTATTATGCAGTTTATAAATATATGTACATGTAATGATGTATTTTTCATAACCAATCTGCTATACCTGTATATCTCAAACATGACAAATAATTTCAGGAAAAATGCAAATTAACTGTTTACTGCTACCTTAGTATAAATGCCTTTGAATGAAGCGATTTTCGTTCGGAAAACTCCTATATTTTGCCTCCAAACTAGCAAAAACTCCTATATTTGTGGAAAAAATATTTCTATATTCCTCCTATATTTTGAAGAAGACTTTGTTGACAATCTGTAGTCGTTTCGACCGACATAGATGGACTTTGAAGTCGTGCTAAAAACTCTTCTGGCTGTATTGAGCATCATGTATTTGTTTTCCATCCAAAATTTACAATGGAAAGTATTGAATTCCCACCTAAGGGCGCACTATCCGGACTCGATTTCCCATCTAGAATACTCTCTAAACTATTGAGTTTCCACAGCATGTGGTACTATCCGAACTAATGATTAAAAATCACAAGGAATTTTAGAACTCGTGATTTCCCATCCTGAGGGATACTTACCAAACTATTGTTTTTCAGCTATCCCCATCCACGCATATTTGCCGTTACGCGGTAGATCTGCTCACCCCATCGGCACATTCTTCCACAGAATCCATTAGGAATGTGAAATTTCAATATAATAGGACTATTCGTATTTAACGTAAAACTATAACAGCAGCAGCATATTGAATATTGCATACTATTCTTTTTGCGGCGTATCGATAAGGTTTACAGGGTCTTCATATTGACTTGTATGTACGAATATGACAACTTTGATAGACATGTGTAATGATAATCGATTTTCATCACGTACTAAAGTAGATATCGTTTGTACCACATCATTAGTTTTTCCCAGGACCACCACACAGAATAAGTAATTAGGCACCCGTGACAATATATAATGGGGATTCTTTCATCTTAGATACAATGTCTACACTTCATTTTTTTTACATACTCACTGGGGTCATAGAGATGTTAAAGGTATCACACAAAATTGGCAGTTTCGAATGTAACTTTCTTTCTCGGTAAACTGATATAAGAAGATTTATAAAAGAGGTTAAACTTAAACATTCTGTAAGTATGATGTAGGTTTGTATCCATATTACTCTTTTCCAATAACTCTTGTTGGTGAATACGTTGAAAACTAGGTCCATACATAATTCCTTTTTATTGGGTCTCGGAATAACGAACTCATTATAATATTGAGTGGTTGGGTACGGTTTCTTGCCAACATGACTCCATCTACCAGCAAGTGAAGTCTTACCAACGGACGGGAGTAACTTACCTATAAGAGTTATCTCCCATTATACACTCTGATGGGCAGTTATTCAGTTTGAAATTGTCAAACTTGGATAACGAGCACTTATCTCTTCTGAGGGATTGTAGAATTGATAAGGAAATTGAGTGGCCTAAGACTCACAGTGGTTTAAGGCGCCATCATGAAGTTTGTCTTGAGTACCTTTATTGCTGTTTGTTGTAAGTTTGAACATATTCACGTTTATTGTGCAGTATATTTCCACAATTCTTCAAGATCATTTAGTTCTATGTATACGTTACAGTGCTGATTGTGAGCGAGGCATGCATTAGCGATCATGACTGTTCCACCAGTCGATGTAGCGACGGGTACCACCAACACTGTAACACCCAAACAGAAATGTGTTATTGCAACCCGGCAGGTAAGGCTAGATATGTTACCACCTCCTTACCGAAACGTTTCAAGAGCGGACCCCAGATAAAAAAAACGTGTAGGGAAGGTCCCATATCTAAACATACCTAAGGCGAACCGCAACAGGTCCTGGGGGAACAGATATAAGGTGGGCAAGCACATAGAGAAGGTGTTTAACTGTTAAGAAAGGCAAAGTCGCATTAAAACGCGCCTCAAGAAGCAATATCAACTTATCGGAAATTTGCCACAGCAAAAAAATCTAGAGCGAACCTACAGGAGGTTGAAGTCGAACCCATTGTAGGGAATGTCTCACAACCATACAGATCAGCAAATATACGTGCAGAGAGGGTCCCATAGCCAAACATGTTTTAAATAGAACCTGCAACTGGTCTGCAGTGGACACATGTGTAGAGAGGGTCCCATAACAAAACGCATTTAAAGAGAACATGGAACATATCTGCAGTGGACACAAGTGTAGAGAGAGTCCTGCAGCCAAACACATTTAAAGAGAACATGCAACAGGTCTGCAGGGAACACATGTGTAGAGAGGGTCCCATAACAAAACACATTTAAAGAGAACATGCAACAGGTCTTCAGGGAACACATGTGTAGAGAGGGTCTCATAATAAAACGCATATGAAGAGAATCTGCAACAGGTCTTCAGGGAACACATGTGTAGAGAGGGTCCCATAATAAAACACATTTAAAGAGAATCTGCAACAGGTCTTCAGGGAACACTTGTGTAGAGAGGGTCCCATAATAAAACGCATATGAAGAGAATCTGCAACAGGTATTCAGGGAACACATGTGTAGCGAGGGTCCCATAATAAAACACATTTAAAGAGAATCTGCAACAGGTCTGCAGTGAACACATGTGTAGAGAGGGTTCTGCAGCCAAACACATTAAAGAGAACATGCAAAAGGTCTGCTGTCGAATAGACGTATAGAGGAACTTTTATACCCGAACAGACTGAGCAGATGCGTGAAAGGAATATCCCGTTTCCAAACAGATTTGAGTTGAACCCGCAGAGGGTCTAGGGCAAACAGACATGTAGTGTCCCATAGCAAGGCCGACCTAGGTCGAAGTAATGTGTAATAGTTACAGGTCTAAGGTTAACACGGGACAGGTATATGTCGACTTAATGGTCTAAGACTTACATGGAACAGGTCCACAGGGATTTGATGCATAGGTAATGTCACATTATCATGGCCTTAAGGCTAATACGGTCTATGTCTTGAAACAAATCGATGCCCGGACCAACTCATGGGATTGGAGGCCCTTTTGTGCAACTTGTATATATATATATCTTAACAAACCGTCAGTCAAGTGCGTTATTCTGAGCCTATAATCGTAATGTATTGTCATTCATTTATTTTCACAGTTGTCTGTTCCTTTGATGGCGAATGTCCTACTGGTCACATGTCTGGCTGTGAACCGTTCGGAGCCCGCTGTGAACACCACAAGTGTCGCTGTCATCATATTTGAGAGGCTTCGGTCATTCTTCTATCCGAAAAGAGCACACTCTTTGATTGTTGTGCAATATGCATCAGAAATAAACTAGTGAAACATTTAATTGTAATGAGCTGAAATTTAGCTTGTTGTCTTGAAGTCTTACAGATAATGGGCTTAGGGTATGTAGATTTGAGAACACATACAGATCAGGGAGAAATATCAATGTTGTCCCATTTCTAAGAGTTTTATGAAATTTTCTTTATCCGTTTTTTCTCTCTTGTGCATACAATAAGCTGACTCATATTAGGCGTCTTTGTATCAACAATCTATACATCAAACTGAAGGTTCGGTTTCTTATCACACTTTTTGAAAAAATACATGTATGTCTCAAGGGTTTCAGACTAAATCGAAGTATTATGATAGATATATTTACTCTGTCAAAATACTAGGCCTTATATTCAAGTTATGGGTGTTGTTCTGTAAATTGATCAAAGTATAATATTTTGCCTAGGACTATGGTACGCCATATCTGACTCATTCCGATCAGGATACAGTATATAATCGATACTGTGATGTAAACCGGATATGTAGAACCCTTTGTATCCATACACTTCGTCATTCAGTAGTGTCTTTGAACCTGAAGGAATGGCGAGACTCTAACCAATGCCAATTCTCTACCTAGTTATTATAGGGCGTT